GGCCACAAGCCAGGGTCTCGCTGCTGGCCAGGCCGTGCTGGGAGCCGGGGCCTCAGCACATCACCCAACGTGGCAAATCCCCGTCACGACACCTTCCCGGGGGGGGTGTTTCCGGGACCCCGACCACCCAGGCCTCTGCCCGCGCGGAGACTGCACGCGGATGCTCCAACAGCGCCACTCACAGCGGCCACAAGACACAGCCCAGCGTCCCTCAAGAGAAAAATGCGTAAACAGTGTGGCGCGTGCACAGACGGAACAGGATTCTCGCAGACGGAACGAAGGGCTGCACGTGCTAGCACGTGGCCGGACGCCGCACACGCCAGGCTCGGTGAGAAAAGCCAGACACAAAGTCCACGTGCATGAAAAGTCCTCAACACATGACCCCATAGAAACAGGTTGCCAGGGGCTGACGGACGAGTGTCGGGGGGCGAAGGGTGTGCTCTGGAATATTCTAAAAAAGACTGCATTGCACGCCGTGAAAGGGTGGCCTGGAGCCGCGTGCTTGTGGGGCAGTGAGTGGGTTTCCGAGAGGACTTGCTTCCTGTCTCCCCGAGGGGCCGGGGCAGGTGGTCGGAAGGGCCTCCCAGACTCTTGGGGTGTCTCTGGAGAGACATTAAGACCATTTGCTCGGGGGGCCTGGGGGGCTCAGAGGTTGAGCATCTGCCTTCAGCTCAGGGCATGACCCCAGGGTCCCGGGATCGAGTTCTACGTCGGGCTCCCTGCATGGAGCTGCTCCTCCCTCTGCCTGGGTCTCTGCCTCTCTCTCTCTCTCTGTGTCTCTCATGAATAAATAAATGCAAATAAAATCTAAAAAAAAAAAAAAAGACCATTCTCTCTGACAAATACCATTAGGAGCTTCATGCTGGAAACAGCACCCAGGTTAGGGACCTGAGCTCTAGGACACTATCGCTGCAGTTGGCTCAAAATCTCCCCTTCCTGCTGCCCCCTGGGTGCCGGCCCTGGACACTGTCCCCAGCGGAACCCACGCGTGGGGGACTGGGGGGAGCTGGTGGTTTGGGCAGGGCCTCAGTGACCCTCCGAAGCAGGACCTGGTGTGTCTGCTCCCAGCCGCCCCCGGCCTCCCTCCTGGAGGGGACGGTCCCCTCCTCCTGGGCCCAGCGCAGGACGGCAGCCCGGCCGGGGGGTCTGCAGCCCGCAGAGCGCTGCCCCCACCGTGAGGGGGTCAGGCTCTCCCCGAGCGCGCCCGGAACCCCTGGTGCCGCCCACCCCGTCCGCGGCCTCGCCCGCCTCTGCAGGCCCGGTCCTGGGCCCCACCCCAGGCCTCCCCAGGGCCCTGCACCTGCTCCTGGGCCTCCTGGCACGTCCTCCACCTGCCTTCCTCGCCGCTCCCGAGGCCCAGTCACCCCCACCCGGGCGCCCTCTGCGTGTCGACACCCCCGCCTGACGAGGACTGGACGTTTGTGCCCCGAAGCCACGTGCTGAAGCTTAGCCCCTGGTGGCGGCATGTTCGGAGACGGGCCTCAGGGAGGCAGCAGCGCTTAGACGAGGCGCGGCCCGCGGTGGGGCTGGCATGAGGCCAGGCTCCTTCTCTCTCAACCGCAGAGGAAGGTGCCATCTGTGAACCCAGGGGACCCTTCCCCATCACTGGTGAGCTCCCTGCCTGGGCCACCCGGCCTCCGGACAACACGACACACACGTCCATGGCGCCGTGACGGCAGCTCGAGCTGGCCCAGCTGGCCCGCACAGCCCGTCCTCCCCGCCGTCCCGGGACGGCCACTCAGTCCCCCCGTGGACCTTAGCCTCCGCGCCTGCACAGTGAGGACCCCGAACCCTGACCCTCCTTGGGTCCTCAGGCCGCACCCCAGGTGTGGGGCCCCTGGGCCTCTGCCCTCAGCCACTCCAGGGAGGAGGGGAGCCCACCGCCCTGCTCCCTCCCAGGGCAGCGCTGCCGACCGCCCTGCGGGAGCGGAGGCCCTTACACTCCGACCCCCAAGTGAAGAGGCCGGCTCCGGCCCCAGGGAGGACAGCGGGGGAAGCCCTCACGGGGGGCAGGCAGGGAGGCAGGCCCTGGTGACAGCGTCACTGACGGGACCCAGGGCCCAGAAAGGCCACACAGCCCCACCCCGTGCCGGCTGACCGCTGCCCTGCTGTGTGCAGGAGGGTCGACTCCTCCTCCGGACACACCCCAGGCCCAGGGCAGAAAGGGGGCGGGTGGGAACCTCCAGGACACGAGAGGAAGACAAGTAAAACCTCCTGGGTGGCCAGTGGCCCCGAGTGCAGAGCCCGGAAAGGTCACGCAGGGACAAGTGTGCCCAAGGCCCATCAGGTGGGGATGGTGGGGACACCGCACGGGATTCTCATTTTCTTTGCCGTTTTCCTTTATCTTACCAATCTCCTACCACCGGATGCAGGGCCCTTGCAGAAGAGGGAAGGCGCCAACCGGGGCCCGGCGGGGTGGGGGGAGCGTGCTGGGTGGCGACCCGCACTGCAGGACCCTGGGCGGGGGACGGGGAGGGTGATGGCCAGGCGGCCTCCATCTGTCCGGCTATGACATACGGGCACTTGTGGTTTGTGAGTGTCCATGTGGCAAACCCTGGGCCGCGGCGAGGACTCCGTGTCTGCTCGACACCCACACCCCTGCGGCCCAAGAGCAGCGGCGCAGGGGCGTGTGATGGATTCCTGCACCCTCGGGGTGTCCTGGGGCTGAGAGCCCCCCTGCGTCTCAGCAGGGAAGGCCAGGCCTCCCCAGGCCCAGGACCCTGTGCAGCTGGGTCACAGGAACCGTGGGGTCCAAGGGCTGGCGGGGGGCGGGGGCAGTCTCCCTGGCAGGGGGCAGAAGGAGCCCAAGCTTCGGGGCTTCAGCCACACCCTGGCCGAGCCATGGCCTCTCCAGCCCTTGGTGCCCCAACGAACAACAGGGTAACGGGGTGGTGCCCTGGATGCCACAGGAACCAGAGAGGGGCGCAGAGAGGGGACGGCACAGGCGGCGAGTTCGGAGGCTGCTCGGCAAGTCCGGGGCTCCCCCTCCATCGGCAGCCGCGCCCATCCCAAAGGAAGTCCCTCCAGCCCCGGACCCAGCCCTCTCCTCAGACCCCCCAGCCGGCAGCAGCGCCCCTCTGCCCTGATCCGCTTGCCCGGATAGACATGGACGGTCCAAAATGAAGCCATCACCCGGGGTGTCAGGTGGGAGCCAGGCCGCCATGTGCTGTGGGCTCCACCCTCCTCAACACGAGGTGAGGTCCCCCCAGAGATGCCCACGCTGAGGAGCCCACGTGGGCCTGGGCGGCCGCGCACCTGCAGCCCTGTGCCAGACCATGGGCGGTCCCCGGGCTGAGGCCTCCGGGGTGAGGGGACGGGCAGACAGGGTGGCCTGGCTGGAGGACCTCCGACAGGCAGCAGGACGGTAGCCCCCGGAGCAGAGGGGCCCCTGCTCCTTGTCATGCCAGCCCCTGCCTCTGCCCTTGGAGAGGGACATGGGGAGCCCCTGCCTCGGAAGAGCAGGGCTGATGCTGGGACAGGGCACGTGACACCCTCCCGTCCACCTGCCACCCGCCACCCTCCAGGCCAGTGTCCTCCGTGTCAAAATCAGTGCCTGCCGGCCAAGGGGCCAGTGAGCGAGGACCAGCCCTCTGAGAGGTGAGGACGCCGGGGAGTCCGGGCTGCCTAAAGGGGTCACGGGGGTGGCCCCATCCCGGCCCAGGAGGCGTCAGGCTGGGCCCAGCTGGCTCCTGGGCCACACTCACCCTCTCCCCCGCCAGGCCTCTTGGAGGCTCAGGGGCCACTCTGTCCACAGGGGTCACGGGGACAGCCTGCGGGGCCCAGCAGGCCCTGATCTGGAGTGGACCAGCTGGGGCAGGGGACGCGGGAGGAGCCAGGCCCCAGAGGGGAGAAAGCCCCCGACGACCCCGAGGCCACCCCGAAGCCCCAGCCTCACTGCTGCACACCGTGTGCACCCAGCGAGCTGGCCCCTCCTGCCCAGGCCACGCTCCGGGGTGGGGTCCTTCCGTGGCAAGGACCCCCCCTTCCCAGCTGGCCTTCCTCCTCCCCCTAGAGTGCTCCCCCCCAAGCCCACTCTCTTCCTGTGGCCTCTGTGCCCGGCAGGCCAGGGTGGGGCTGGGGGACTTACGGGGCACCCAGGCTCCCCCAGGTCCTGGAGGAACGAGGATCACAGGGACAGGGGCTGGGCTCCCGTGAAATCAAACTGACAGGAAAATGTGATTAATTTGCTGCTTAAAGAGACAGTCACAACGACTTAAAAAAAAGAAAAGCAGCCGCCCTCCCTTCTAATCAGCGGTGCGGTCTGTGCCCAGCGCCCACCCAGGGAGGGGGGCTGACGCGGCTCTGGCCCAGCCTCTCGGGCGCAGGGGCCTCCGCACATCGGGGGGCGCCTCCCCGGGCAGGTCCAGGTGGCTCGGGGCCATTGGGCCGGGGGGGGAGGCAGCGGGGGCCAGGCTGCCTGCAGGGTCTCCGGAGTCGGGGCGAGGGTGGGGCCCCCACACGCTGGCAGCCACCTCGCAGCCCCCCGGGGGTTTGCCCCTCCGACCGCAGGCCCTGGGCTGGGAGCCCGGCCGGGCAGTCGGCAGGTGAGTGCCCAGTGCGGGCGGCGCGCGGCGTCCAGCTCGGGGGCCCGAGTCCCCATCACGCGGCCTGACACGTGTTCCCCGGGGAGCTGCCTCTGGGCCCTGGCACCGCCCCACACGTGGGTATCACCTCACAGGAGCCACTTCTCCCCTCAAAGGGCCCGGCAGCCCCTGCACCCACGGGCTCCGCGGGGGCCCGGCCTCCTGGCCGCGGAGGGCACAGGGGCCGAGGCTCTGCTGGAGCACGGAGGGGGCGGGAGGCAGGGCCAGGGAGGACCGCACTGTCCCTCCTTCCCCGAAGCCCACCGCCCGCCAACCCTCCTGGAGCCCTGGGAGGTCGCCCTCCCTCGTCCCTCCCGCGACCCGCGACCCCTGGCTGCACCAGCAGCGCTTGGACTGCGCCCCTACGCTCGCCCCCTTCGCTCTCTCCGGTTTAAACAAAGCAAGATCACGACCCGGTTTCTGTTTCTTTCATTTTCTTTTTGGTGTTTTTGGTCTTTAAAGTGACAGAAAGGAGAGAGGAGCCAGGCTGCGTTCCTTCCGGAGTCTCAACGTGCTCCACATGGCGCCGTCGCAGGCCCGTGGCCCGGGGAGCCCCCGCGAGGGGTCCTGACGGCGGTGCTGGGCGCCAGGCGGGACCCCACTTTGGGAGGAATGCAGGGAGGTGGGCCCCCTGGTTCTCAAGCGCACGGAGCAAGCCCGTCGTCGTCGCGGGGCTCCTGGAACTTCACAAGCCAGAGCTGACGTGTGGGGAGGGAGGAGCCGCGGTGCTCCTGGGCTCTGTGCTCCTCCCTGGGGCACCCGGAAGCAGGCTGGCCAGAAGGCACGCGGGGTCCCTCGGGCAGAATGGGGGTGTGGAGGGCACCCCCGAAGTCGGAGGCTCCAGGACGGCCGCGCCCTCATCGTCGACGACCTTGAGGAAACAGAGAGGGAAAGAGGTCACCTCGGGCCAGGGCTGGCGGACAGGCCCCGGGGTCCGAGCACCGGGTCGGGCGCCCACTGTGGGTCTTCTGAGCCAGGCTCCTCGGGCTCCGTGCCTCCCCAGGGGCCCTTGCCACCCTGGCGTCCCACCTCCCAGGTGGGGCCCCCGACCTGCGCCCCACCTGTGTCCACCCACCTCCACAGGACCCTGAGTTTCCCAGAGAAAGGTGAGGGATCCGAGTAATTGGAAGTCCAGACCCCGGGGCTCTCCGTGAGGGGCCTGCCGTTCTAGATCTTTCCGGCCACTCCTGGCCTGGCGGGCTGTGCACACGGCCCTGGGGCTCACGGCTCAGAGGGACCCCCGCGTGTCACCGTCAGGGTGTGGGACTGATGCCCCGCTGCAGACACACGCCCTCCTGGTTCGGGGAACCTCTGGGGTTGGGGCAGACCCTCCCATAAGCAACCCTCCCCTGGCTGGTGGGCAGTTGAGCTTCAGCCCTGCTTCTCCGTGCATCCCCACCTCCCAGGGGACCACCCAGGGCTCCAGACGGTCATCCCTGGGCAGGCGGACCCAGCCGTGGGGCAGACGGGCCCTCAGCCCAGTGTCCCAACGCCACCTGCCCTCGGACACAGCAGCCAAGGCTGCAGGATGGGAGCCCCCGCCCCAGTCCAGTCCAGCGGCCTGGACGCCGCAGGATCAGCCACGACGTGTGAGGCCGCGGCGGTTTGGGGAGCCTGTTCACGCAGCGGTCGGACGCCGTGCCTGAGGCCCCGGGAGACCGAGGAGGAATAAGTGATAAGAATATAAAAACTAAGCAGCCAGAAAACGAGGCAAATTCAATTCAGAGCAGAGCAGGGCAGACAGGAGACCCTCCTGCCAATGGTGCGCACGGGCCACACCTGTCCCCCGCGGAGCCCAGGGCTGGCGCTCGTGTGCGTGTGGCAGGGGCACGGGGCTCCGCGTTCGTCTCCGCTGGAAGCAGCGTCCTGACGACGCCCCGGATGACAATCACGGAATAAGAGACGGCGCGCGAGCGCATCATTGAGGCCGAGGGAGACGAGGTCTCCCGTCGCTGGGCCGCGACGACGCGAGCATACGCACCACTGACACGGATAAATCTTAAATGAAAAGAACCGGGTTCCGGAGCGCCTGTCGCGGGAAGTGAAGACAAAGCCTCCCTCCACTTACACATAATAAGACCCCGACACAGAGCCACCCTGACCGCAGCCCCGCTCCGCTGCCCGAGCCCTCGAGGGGGACAGAGGGGGTGCAAGCCCGCGGGTGCCTGGGAGGAGCCCGACCCCAAAGCAACCCTGTGCAGGGGTTGAGGCTGCGTGGAGGGGGCGAGGCCGCCAGCTGCGTGGCAGGGTGCGACCAGGTGGACGGCCCCCCTGTGGTGTCACCGAGGCGGGGGCACACAGCCCGTCCAGGCCCAGACCCACGACACATTCCCGGGGGCCCAGGAAAGCCCCGGGGACCGAGGTGCAGAGGGCACCCGCCCCCCACCCGCAAGCGGCCTGGCTGGAGGGGAGGGAGGGACTGGCCGTCCTCCGCGCCATGTGACACGGCCAGGAGTCCATCATCCTCTGCGGCTGCGGCAAACCAGAGCCTGCAGGCCCCAGGGTGCAGGAGGGGCAGTGGGCACAGAGGGCGTGAGGTCGGTGTGAGCACAGCCCTGGTGGTCGGGGCTCAAGGGGGGCCCAGGGCGGCTTCCCCAGGTTACTTCTATTGTGATGACCACCCTGGGGGTGCCGTCACCCCCTCCCTCCTCACAGACAAGGGGATGAGGCTCAGAGGGGCTCAGACCCTGACCGAGGTCACTCAACTCAGCTTTGAGGCCAGGATGTGAACCCACGTCCCAGGGTGGCACACGGGCAGCTGGAACACTGTGCCCTGAGTCCAGGCCTGACCACACGCCCCGCGGGGAAGGCTGACTGCTGGGTCCAGACTGGCTCCAGGTGGCCGGTCCTCCGAGGTGTCTGCCCTGACCTGCTCCCTGTCCCACCCCTGGCTGGAGGCCCCGACTCGGAGTCCCGAGAGAGTGTCCCCCAGAACGTGGATCCAATGTCGCGGGTCATGGGAAGCTGTGCCAGGGGAGCCTCAGGGTCGCTGGGTGAGGGTGGCAGCTGCCTCCTGGAGAGGAGCTGGATGGAGTCCCCATCCCCGTCCTACAGCCACCACCCCCCTCTGGGCAGGACAGGCCCGGGCGCGGCCAGCCGAGGACGGCAGGTTCCCACCCAAGGACCAACAGTCCCTCCTGGAGACACGTTCCCAGGTCGTAGCCGACCCGCCAGTACTTCAGCTCTCCCAGCGGGGGCAGCTGGGACCCCCAGGAGGGCCCCGTTGGCAGACAGGAAGGGGCATGGGGGAGAGGTGGGGAGCCCCCCTGCACCAGCTGCTGGCCTCAGGGCCTCCGGAGAAGAGCAGGTCTCCTAGGAACCCGGGTGGGACGGATGGGCAGGTCCCTTGCGCCCGGGGGCCCTTGTGGCCAGGAAACCCCTCGGCATAAGCACAGCCCCTGCCACCCCACCCCTTCCTCCCGCCCCCCTGGGGGGGACACTCGTCCCAGAGCACCCCAGCCCTGCCGTCCCTGCGGCCCGGCCCAAGTCGGAAACAAAGGGAAAGGTGAGGTCACTACTCAGGTCTGGGGCAGATGCAGCAAGAGAAGCCCGTTTCCGGGGCTCCCTGGGCGGGGAGACACCCCACTGGCCGGGACCAGCGCAGCAGCGAGGACGCCCCACCAGCTCCGGGGATGGGCTTCCCTGGAGTCTCTGGGGAGGCCCGGCGCCCGCGTGCACCACGGAAACGCTCCGACGGCCCCTTCCCAGGTCTGCCCCTCGCTGGCCCCACCGACCTCATGGGGTCATGTCCCCCACGGGGCCCCGGGATCCCCACATGGGCCCCGCAGTCACGGCCCTCCGAAGCCGCCCTGCTTGCTGAGCCGCGGGCGCCCCAGTGACGGGGGGTAGCTGAGCAGATGGGGTGACCAGGGGGGTCGCCCGGCCCCACGCAGGGCCGGGCCGGTGGGCACAGCCCGGGAGGCACGGCCGGCCCAGGCCCCACGACGGCGGCCGGACCCGCTGGTCTCACACTCGGCGCAGGAGGTGGCCTGTCCCTAAACCAAAGCCATCGGGGCAGGTGGCGGCCGAGCAGCGGCCGCATCAGGAGCGAGACCCCCGGCATCCTGGGGCGAAGCAAAGGCAGGCAGCCGCTGGCCTGGCCGCGCTCACGCCCCCTCCGGTGCAGACCCCCGCGGCGGGGAGACGCCCCCCCACGACCCAGCGCCTCCTACGGGTCTGCTGTGCGGCCGCCCCGCTCACGGCCTGATGTGCCCCGGGTGACCCAAGGGCCCCAGCACCTGGCCACACGCACAGGAGCCCTGCCGCCTGGCTCTGTCCCTCCGCGCGGCCACACCCTCAACCCTGCCGGGACCAGTGTGGCCTTGGCTATGGCCCCCGGGCACCCCCACCCCGCAGGACGGGCCCCGAGGTTCCTGTAGCCCCGTACGCGCAGGCTGCACCAGAGACCCCGGCCCGGGCTGGAGATCCCCGGGCCAGGGAAGTGGGGGTGCAGCCCCGTCCCCCTGGGACACTCAGAGACCCGGCAGGAGGCCTTGGTCACGCCCACCGGAAGCCAGGGCGCCCAGGAACGCCAGCGTCGGAAATGCCACCCTCCAGAATGCGGCTGGAAGACGGCCGTCTGAAGTCCCGTTTCCCCAGAATCCAGAGGGTTTCCACGGGGAGAGGCCGCGGGGAGAGGCCGCGGGGAGAGCCAAGCAGCCTGCTCCCCAGACCCCATCCCCGGGCTGCCCCCCCCAGCTGCCCTCCAGCCACAGCCGGGAAGCCTCTCTCCTCCCTGGGTGCTCCGGGGTGTGGGCACCTGCCCTCCTCTCCTCTCCCCTCTGAGGGGTCCGCCCAGCAGGGGTGCTGGATGCACAGAGCTGGGCCTGGGACTGCACCCTGGCTCTGCGCCTCCCCTGAACCGGTGTCCCCATCTGGGGGACAGGGTGCCCCAGCCCCACCCCCCCAGTGACCCAGGGCCGGGCTGCCAGGGTCTGAACTTGCAGAGCCCCACCTACCTGAAGGGAGACCCCACACAGAACAGCCAAGAATGGACGGGTGGGGGGGCAGGAGCGTGCGGGGTGAGGGTGCCGAGCTGGGGTTCGTCAGGCACAGCGTGTGCAGGGAGTCGGGGGAGCCTCCCCAAGGAGGAGACACGGAGCCACCACGTGGCGAAAACCCCGGGGTTCTGGGGCCTCCCTGCCCTGGAGCCTGCAGCCCCACCACCGGGTCCCCCGGGGTCTGCAGGACATGGGCACCCTCCTTCCAGGAGTCCTGCCCCACCCCCCGCTCACAGCTGCCTTGACTTAGAAAAGCCTAGAAGCCCAGGGTCCGTAAGGCTGCTGACGGACAGGCTGCGCACGGCTCCGCGGGGACGAGCACGTTCGCTGCACACGGCCTCCAGCACCTTCCTGGGGCGCGTCATGGGGTACATGGCACGGGGGGGCTGCGGATGCCGCTCACGCCCCAGAGGGCAGAGGGGGTCCCCCGCATGTCTGCTTATGTTCCAAAGGGAGGAGGATCGGCCAAGGCCAAGCCAACGCCGGGCACCTGCAGGGTGCTCCTAAGGGGCCTGGTCGCGGCAATCTGGGACCCTCAGAAATGTGCGCAGAATCACGAAACATGCCCCAAAATGTAAACGGCAGGAACATCTAACCATGGAAAGTTCAGCCAAATCAACGACCCTGTGCTTTGAGGTCACGGCGACGGCAGAGAGAGGAACCGGGTCGATGCCTTTGGCGGCGGACTCCGAGGCACAGGAGGGCCAGGCCCCGGGGTCGGGGAGACCCATGGGGAGCCTCGCGGGGTCCCCGCTCATCACCCACGGGGGACGCTAGCGGTGTGGTCGGTCTGAAGGCATCACGCGTGTGACGCGTCCCCTGTACGCGAGGTGGCTGAGGCACATCACGCGTCAAACAGACGGCGCACACGCGTTTAATACACACGTTAACTTTTACGCAGAAAATTAACACGGTTGACCCTTGAATAACGGTTACGGGGATCAGGGGCGCGACCCCCCGATGCCCAAAGACCCACGGTCACTTTGACTCCCCCGGAGCGTAACTGCCAACAGCCCCCAGTTGGCCGGAAGCCTGACCGACGGCGTCGCCGCTTCACACGTGCTCCGTTCGCCGTCCTAGGACAGAGGCGGCCCGAGCAGAGGGGAGGTCGGGACGACACGCCAGGGACGCGCGATTTCATCTCTACAGACATTCTCGGTTCTGCCGCGTGTTTAGGGAAGAGCCTGTCAGGTACAGTGAACGCGGGCAGGTGAACCCCGTGTTGGTCGGAGCTCGACTCCACGGGAGTCTCACGAAGAACCCAGACTGTCCGCGTAGGAGACCGGAAACGCGACTCTAACAGCTGAAGAAGGGGGAGCGCTGCGCTACAAAGACCCGTCACAGAGTCGCGATCCGCTGCTAAAGGGCTTCGCAGGTCTGCGCCGGGGAGGCTACGCGCGGCCGGGAGCAGCGGGGAAGCCCGGGAGGACCCGGGCCCCAGGGGCTGGCCGGGCCCGGGAAATGCCCCCCGTGAGCCGGAACCCCGAGGTGGGCCCAGCGCACCTGCCGAACACCCCGTGGGGATGCGACCGCACGGGCACCGGGCAGCAGGGAGTGGGGTTCGCGGAAAGACCCGGAGTGCGTGTGACACGCACAGGGACAGAGCCCCCGGTCCTGCCCTCGCCCTGTTAAGACTGAGCCTCAGAGTCCCGGGTGACCGGGTGTCCCCGCGGGATCACTAAGGACGGGACGGGGTCACGGGGCCCACAACGGGCGGCCGCCCTGTGACAGGGTGCAGAGTGTGGGTCCTTGTCCGTGGGCTCTCGGGCCTCGGAGCCGGGGTGGGTGCCGGGGCCAGGGGTGCAGAGGCCGGGGGGCCCGGGGTCGCGTGTTCAGGGCGGCACGGAATCCGTGAAACCAGGGCAAAGCGCCCTGTTCCGCCCCGCAGGCGTCTCCCCAGGGGAGGGGCTGCACCTGCCAGATGGCGCCCCCGCCCGGAAGCCCCCTCACCCGGGTCCCGGTGCCAGGAGGCAGCTGCCAACACCCGGAGTCTCCCAGCAGCGCTCCTGCCGCCCCCGGCACCCCGGGCGCTGCCGGAGGAGGTGGCAGGGACGGCGCTGGCAGCGGGAGGCGGGTCCGGGCCTGGGCGCCCACGGCAGGCGCGGAATTACAGGCCTTCGCTTCCTTCGGGAACAAAATAATTACAAGCTGCACAGAGGACCTGAGTCCCCTGAAAGCAGCGCAGGAAGTCGGCTGAGAGCCACGTCTTCAGGAGCGGAAGCACCTTGTTATTTAGACTCGGGAGAGAGAAAAGCCGGTTCGGCGCCTGCGGCTCAAGGACCCTGCTCCCAAAGGGAGACCCCGCAGGAAGGTGAAACCGTGGGCACCGCCCCACCAGTAAGCTCCCCGCCTCCCCGGGGCGACCCCGCCTCCCCAGGCGACAGCCACTGCAGGAGGCCGTGGCCAGCAGCCCGGGGCTTCGGGGTTCGGGGTGCAAGCTGGCCCTGCCGGGGGGACCTCCACATCCCCGAGAAGCGAGCACCCCGAAGCTAAAAGGGCAAAGCGGCCCCAGCACGGCCCGGACCCACGGCCCCTGTGCACAGCCCCCCGGCAGGGCAGCAGACCCTTCTGGAAGGATGATCCCTCCCTCAGCGCCCGCCCCTGCAGGGTCCAGTCCACCTCACCACCAGCTGAGCCCTCCCCGAGCCCAGCCAGCCCCCGTGGAAGAGGCCGGCAGCCCGAGCGGGGTGCACACGCGGGCCCCTAAGCCATGTGCTGGGCAGACAGGAGGAGGCAGGGGTGGAGGGCGCCCCGCAGGCTTCAGGCCCCCACCCTGGGGCCAAGCGATTGCACCGGGACTCGGATGAGGATCCACAGGGTCACCCGTGAGGCCGCCCGGGGTCCCCACGGGAGGGGGGCAGAGGGGGTCCCCAACCACAGAGGTGGAGAGCGGGGTGATGCCCGCACCAGCCCTGGCCTCTGGGGGCCACCAGGGGCTGGAAGGACCCCTGGAGCCTCCCGCGGGGGCGCAGCCCGGAGACCCCTCGAGTGTGCGGTCCGGGCCCCAGAACCAGGAGAACAAACTTCCTTCAGGCGGCCGGCCGTCCGGGTGGGTGGCACTCAGGGTAGCGCCGGGAACCCAAGGGCGACCAGCGACACAAGACCCCAGCCCCGGGCGGCTGCCGGCTAGCACTGCGACAGGGGCGGCTGTGTGACCCCAAAAAGCTCCTGCCCTCCAAACCCCCCACTGAGGCAGGGCGGGAAGCGCTGCCCCCCCCCCCCCCGCCCCGCTCCACAGGATGGGACCGCTGCGGCCCTCCCAGCTCACGGGGATTGGGGGAGGCGGGGAGGCGGGTGCCACAGCCCCCACCTGGCCCCGGTGCAGCCCCGCCCACGCCCCCCCCCCCCACTGCCCAGGACAGGCCCCGGCTCCGAGGGTGGCGCAGGGGGTGCCGTGGGGGCTCCCGGGACAGCTGGGGGCCGCTCGGGCCGCTCCCGATGCCCGTGGGTAACAGCGCCCCCACGGGCCAGCCTCCGCATGGGGCCTGCAGGCAGGACAAGGCCCATCCTGTGGGCGCACCTGCCCCACCGCCCGGCTCACCTGTCCCAACCCCCCTCCCCCATTCCCCTGAGCACTGGACCCAGAGTCACCTCCCAGCCAAGACTCAGGCACCCAGACCCCAGCCGGCTGGGGCCGCAGCGGGGGCCACCGTGGTCCCCACGCTCCAGGAGCCAATGCCCAGCACCCCTGGGTCGGCCCCTCTGGGGCTCAGACCCCTGCGCCCCGCTTCTCTCTGCCCCCCATGGGCTCCCCATCCTGGCCTCAGCCTCTGTCCTGCCATCCCTCGCCTGCTGACCCACGAACAGGGCCATGCACCCCCTGCCTAACACGCCCCGTGCTGCCCTTTGCTCTGAGGACAAGGCCGTCCGGCCTCCAACCCCCACGCCCGTCTGCCTCCTCCCCCACCCCGGATCGTGCAGGCTTCCTTCTGCCACAGGCACTCGCCCTCCTTTCGCTTAGGACGCTCACCCCCCAGCCTATTAGCTCATGATCAGCTCACCGTTCGCGCTCAGCCATATGTCACCTCTTCCAGGAAGCCTTCCCGGATCCCCAGTCCAGGTCAGCTTCCTCGCCAGATGCTCGCTGTGGGGCCCTCGTCCCTTCTCAGCACGTTCCTGTGTGTGATTATGCACAAATGTGGGCGCTGGGATTCACGGGGTGAGGCCCGCGGTGTCCCCCATCTAGTGGAGCTCTCAGCCCTCGGGGGCGGGACGCCAGCCTCAGGAGGAGCTGCCATCACCTACCAGGTTGGGGGACTGGCCCCGCACTCCTGGGTGTCCCTGCCCCGCCTGCAGGACCAGCCGAGCCCCCTAAGGTCGAAGTCGGGAGGAGGGTGCCCGTCCCTTCCAGCCAGGAGCTTGACCCCAGGAACGGTGGGTCGGAGACCCTGCCCCGGAGGGGGGGGGCGTGGGAGGAGCCCCGTAAGAACAGCTCCCCCCACTCAGAAAGGGTGTAGGGGCCACTTACAGCGGCGGCTGCCAACAGGTCATCACCAGGCCCCCGGGCACCCCCACCACCCAGCCCGGGAGCCAGTGCCGCAGTCACTGGGAGACAGGCGGGGAGTGAGGCCCAGGGAGGCCAGGCTGCGGGGGCCAGAGCACAGGGGCCAGGGGGCAGGGCCAGGCGGCCTTGGGGCGGCCCTGGGGGTCAGCTCCGTCCTGGGGGCCCATAGCCCCAGTGCGCTGGGGGCTGTCCCTGCCAGGAGCCTCCGTGCCCGGTCCCCCAAACCCAGCAGGTGGCTTGGTGCTTCTCCAGAATGTCCCTGGGCACCCCGTCCCCTCTCAGCCCCCAGCCCCTCTGCAAAGTGGGGCGGGAGCCCCTGGGACAAGATGCAGCACACGAGGGCCCTGGAAGGGCCCTGACCCCACGGTGCCTGCTGGATTCTCTGACCCCTGCTGGTTGGCGGTGCAGATGCCCCCAAGGCTGAGGGGCTCCGGCTGTCCCCAAGCCCCAGCTGGTGACGTGACCTGCAGGACGACCTTCCCCAGCTCCAGCCCTCCCCCCAGGTACCAGCGACCACGACCTCTCCCAGTGGCCTAAGAGCCCCCTCAGCATCGCGGGAGCTTGCAGCAGACCCTGCAGCCCACGGAGCAGTCCCCAGTCTGCCTCTCAAGGAGCAGGCCAGGGGGCCAGGCCCCCAAACAGCACCACTGACCCCAGAAAGCAAGGACACCCCCCCCCACCGGCCCTGCACTCGCCAACACCTGGCTGGCCTGGACCTCACAGCAGAGTCTTCGATCCTCAAAAAACAACTAAAAAGCCAATCAGGCAAAACCGCCTTGTGCTTTGGTGCTGCAACGATCCAGCGTCCTGGCTCCCCAGCTCCTGTCCCAGGGGCCAGAGACACAGAGACAGGAACAGGAAGACGGACAGAGACAGAGAGACCCAGAGGAAGGGGGGGTGGGGGGAGGAGGGAAGGGGGGAGGAGGGAGGAGACAAGGGGAGGGAGGGAGGAGGGAGGAGGAGAGGGAGGGAGGGGGTGGAGAGGAGGGGGAGGGAGGGAGGGGGAAGAGGAGGAGGGGGGAGGGAGGGAGGGGGAGGGGGAGGGAGGGAGCAGGCAGGGAGGAGGGGGGAGGGAGGAGCCCAGGAGAGGCCAGTCTGTGGGCGCAGCCCCTGCAGCAGTGAAACCTGTCTGGCGAGATTCTTCCTCCTTCCCTGTAAACAGGGCGGCCCCAACCCCCAACCCCCAACCCCCCCACGGGGCTGCACTCTCCAGGGGAGGGGGAGGGGAGGCTCCCTGCCCCCCAGGCCCCACGGCCCCGGGTGGGCCCCCTGACCCCAGTGCCGCCCTAGTAAGTACCCGCTGGGACCGGGGACCTCAAGGTCAGTCCTGAGGACACAGTGCTCCGCGTCCCCACCCCACTGCCCTGCCGACCGCCCCCGCCTGCGGGAGGGGTGCAGAGGCAGGAGGGGCCGGTGAGCAGCCAGGCCTGGTGGGGATGGCAGGGGGTGCACAGGCCGGCAGGACCCCACGGAAGGAAGGCGGAAGGCGACACTCTGACCTCCCCCTGGATCCCTCCCCAGTCAGGCCCGCCCGCCCCGCAGGTGCCCCCACTTGAGACCCTCGCTGGCTGGATGCCAGCAGGTTGGTGGCATGCCCCACCCCGACGTGACGACCCCGACATGACACCCCACACGTGACGACCCGAGCTCACAGGGGCTGAGCCTGGTTCAGGAGAGGACGGGGCCTGTGTGGACCCCTGGGAGTCATGCAGGGCAGTGACCCGGGCTGACCCGGGAAGCAGGGGACGGAAGGCTGGGACCGGGCTTCCCGAGTACTGGCAGCGACCTGCCCGGGGGCACCAGCAAGTCAACCCTCCATCCCGCAACCCCCAGTACATGTGGCACAGCAGTGAGGGTCACGCCAGGTGCCTCCCAAGCCCTTCCTGGCCACACATCAGCCAGCCCTGCTGAGGCCGGGGCTTGGGCTGGGGACCCTGGCACCAGGCAGGGGAGGGGCAGGGGACCAGGCGGCCCAGGTCGGCTGAAGGCCACGGAAACCAAGGCAGAGGCCCAGGTGGGGCGCAGGACCGCTGCTCTGGACACAGCCCTGCCCCTCCTGTCGCTGCCTCTGTGGGCAGGGGGACCCCACCGCACGCCCTGTCTGTGGGGGAGGGCAGGGAGGGGGGTTGGCCCCGGGAGGTCACAGCAGGGCCAGCGACCCCCTGGACACCCCCGCCACAGCCGTCTGATGACTCAGAGCCAGCACCTACCTGTCCTGGGGCCTGGGGGTGTCTCTGCCCCCACCTCCCCGGCCACTTCCCGAACCCCCCCACACGGTGACCACAGACACGCGTGGCCTGCTGAGGGACAGCTGCCTCCCTAAGGCCCGTGGCTGGAGAGCCTACAAGTTCTCCCGCAGGGACTCGGGGGGCCAGGCACCAGCCCAGGGACAGGCCCCAGAGCCACCCCGGGAGCCCGGAGCACCCGCGGGTCCAGGAACCTCCCCCCTTCCTTTGTCCTGCCAAGTCAGGACCACGTGGGAACAGGACGGAGGGGGCCTCGGCTCCAGTGTGGGGAGACAGGAGGGTGAGTCCCCTTCCCGTCCCCGAGGACCGAGCGGCCCCAGGGCACCCGCGGAGCCCCCGCCCCACACTCCCCACGACCTCCATCCTTAAGCCTGCTCCTCTCTCGGGGGCGCATCCAAGGGTGAGCAGATCTTTCAGGGCGCTCGGGCGAGGGCCCCCAGACACACGCTGGCCTGGGCGGGGCGGCTCCCGCCCGGCCTGCACACTCACCTGCTGGGCCGCGTTACGTCTCAAACTCCGTTAGCAGCTCCCTGATCTCGGGGGCCACGTGCTGCGCGGCGTTGGCGGCCTCCGTGATCGCCTTCCGGTACATGCCCTTCTTCTTGCGGTTAAATCTCAGTTTGAAAAACTCGGAGAAAGGCGAGAGCTTTGAAGTGGACAAGAACGACGTAGTGGGCGAGCCGAACCACGAGACTTTCGCTTCTTGCCACGAGGGCTCCCCGTCCTCCTTCTGGCTGAGGCTGATGTCCAGGACGCGTGCGGGCCACCAAGGAAAGCCGTGAATCTTACCCCACACGATGTCCCCTACGGCCACCGTCCTCCCGTCCTCAGTCACGCACTTGGAGACGCTCTGCGTGTGCAGCCGGACCGTGAGGGGCGGCACGGTCGGCCTCGTGTCCTTGGATGAGGACCGCATGGACGCGCCGTCCCCGGACGAAAGGTCACAGGTGTCTGGTGACGTTACTTCCGAGCTGGACGACTTGGACTCGTCCAGGCTGTCGCTGCTCCACACGGACTCGCTGGCACAGTCTGCGCCCCTCCTGGGGCAGGCGGCCAGGAAGGCCAGGCTCTCGGGCCCGCGTGGACCCTGGGGACACCCTTTGAAGTCCTCGTCCTCGCCAGAGCTCCCGGAGGACGAGTCGGCAGCCCCGCCGCCCGCAGTGCCGTGGCCCGGGAGCGTCGGGGAGCCGGCCCGGGGGCCTCGCCCGCGCCCGTTGAGCGCCTCCACCAGCTCGGCCCGGTACACGGGCTCCCGCGCCCCGGCCCCCGGGCGGTGGGGCTTCAGGCGGATCTTGGGGGGCGGCAGGCCGGGGCCGGGGGGCCCGGGCCGCGTCAGCTTCAGCTTGGGGATGCAGGCGGGGGGCCCGCGGGGGTCGTGGCCAGTGCCGTGGGGGGCCTGGGACGGGCAGAAGGGCTCCAGGGACCCGTGCACGCGCGACGGGATCTCCACCACCTCGCCCTTGCCCTGCGGGGTGCTGTACGAGATCTTGATGGCCGGGCTGCGGGCCACCGGCGCCCCGTCCTCCTCCCGCCTCTCTCTCTTGCTCCTCCTCGCTGTGGCCGTGGCATCGCCGCCACCGCCGCCGTCAGGGTCCTCGAGCTTTTGGGGCTCCCTGTCGGGGCCGGGGCCGCTGCCCCCCCTCCTGCGGGGCCGAGGGGCAGCCGGGGGGCCGGGGCTGGCCTCGGGGGGGCTCAGAGTGCTCTTGCACTTCTCACAGAGTACTTGGCGCGGCCGCAGGCGAATGGGGCTCAGGGCGAGCCGACCTGGGTCGCGGTTCCGGGACAGGCGCCGGCGGGTTCTCTTGATGGTCCGGGGCGGCGGCTGCGGGACCCACTGCCGGTAGGTGCTTCTCAGCCAGAGCGGGGGAGGGAAGGGGGCGCCTTCAAAGTACGGCGGGAACGGCGGCACGAGGGGCGGGGGCGGCTCGGGGCCGGTGGTCTCGGGGGGCTGGTCCCCGCAGGGAGGGGGCGGCGGGCCGGTCCCCAGCTGCATCGCCTCTCCGTCCTGCTCCAAGGGGGCCGGGCCGTGGCAGCCGTTGACGGGCAGGTCCTCTGGCTGGGGCAGCGGAGCCGACAGGGGCAGGCCAAAGAGGCCGGACCTAGCAGTGGGGAGACAGAAGGGGACAGTCAGACCGGGAGGACGCCGCTGCGCCCAGTCCCCACCCCCAGGGCCCCGGCGGGATCCAGGTGCCGCCTGGGGCCCAGCATCTGCAGGTGCGTCCGGGGGCCTGACAGGGCCAACGCCCCCACGTGATCCCAGGCGAGGCAGCCCAGGGATGTGCTCTGCGACGCCCCGTGACCAGCGCGGAGGCCACCTCCCGGGTCGCTCAGGCATGCTGTCCCCATCTCGGCCACTGCAGACCTCCCCAGACCCCAGGGTAGGCACGTGGGCCCTGGAAGCCTGACAACAGAGTCTGGGGGTCTGGGGGCTGCGACATGGCCTGACTAGGCCCGGGGGGGGGGCAGCTGCTCTGCAGCCAGGGGCCCTTGTTCACCGCCGTGTCCACCCACCCCTTCCTCCCCGAGGGAAGACCCCACACGTGCTCCCTATGGGCCCGGGACAGCCCGTCGGACCCGGGTCGCAGGGACCAGCAGGGTGTAGGGGGCCTGGGGGGGGGGGGCGCAGTGGCAGCGCTGGCCTGAGGACAGGAGTTGGCCAGAAGCCCGGAGCCCTGGGCCCGGGAGCCTGCTCCCTCCTGAATGCTGAGCTGGTCCCAACTGTCCCCACTGCCCTGGGGTGGGGGTGACATCCACTCGGCCCCACCCAGCACATCCCCGAAGGACCTCCCCTCCCGCCTGGTGCCCCCAGGCCCTGCCCTCAGACCCCCGAGGGCAGGGGACCAAGCAGCAACACAAGGCCGTGCGAACCACGGGAAGGGGACACGAGAGGGCAGGAGGCCCACCTCCCAGGAGGACCCACAGCCAAGGCCAAGGGCAGGACGGCACCCCCAGGGCTCTCCGCCGGGACCTGCCCTGCTAAAGGCCTGCTCTGCCCCCGGGGGGTGCTGGACCACGTGGCCCCCATCTGGGCACTTGGCGAGGTGAGGGGGTTGGTGTAGAAAGTCAGTGGTCAGAGAACCTTCCAGAGCGGACGGAGGGCCACCCCCGAGCCCCCGAGCCGAGCGTAGCTGCATCTAACTCATGAGGGGCCCTCGGCGCCGCGGGAAAGCGTCCACACTGTCCCCAACGGCGGGGAGCAGGCCCGTCCTCCGCCGTCTCCAGCGGCGAGCGCGCGTGACTTCGAGACACACGTGATGTGATCTTCGAGATGGCTCCGCTAAAAGCTGTTGTTCTTGAAGCGCGAAAGCAGACTTCCGCCAAGTTACGAGAGCCGAGGCGTAGGCCCGGCGCCTTGGTCCTCACCCTCCACGTGGAATCCGACCAGGGTAGAAACAGCGACTGACGCTCCGCTTTCCCGATCTCCAAACGATCTCCCCGTTTGCTGTGTTCCAGAAGAGCCCAGGCTAGCCAGGAGGCGACCGGCCACGACGTCGCCGCCCCCGAGCGCCAGGGCCGGGAGCCGGGCACGGAGGGCACGGGACGCCCGGGGCGCTGCCTCCCCGGGTCGGTCCCCGCGGTCATGACGTCCGTGAATTAACGAAGACGGCGGATGTCCCCGCGCGAACGTGGCCCGTCTTCGTTTAATCCAAGTTTGCGGTAAAAGCTGGAAACCACCGTTTCCCTCCTTCCCATCAGGTTCTCGTGTGCTTGTGGCCACGCCCGGAATCTGGAGTCCTCGCGGGGGCCTGCGGGGTCGGGGGCTCGCTCCTCTTCGTGGCCAGAGTCCAGCAAACACAGGTCCGTGGCCACCGGCCCCCGGCGCGGCCGCCCTGTAACCTGTAGCCGGGACTGAGGGAGGAGGGCGAGCGGGGGCCGTGGGGAGGCCGCGGGGCCAGCGTGGGAGGGGCTTCTGCTCTGGTGGGGGAGCAACCAGGATGAGCACCCCATCCCCTGCCCGTTCTCCGCGGGCCTGATCGGGGTGACCGCGGGCACCGAGTCCTGGCCGCACGCGCTCGGCTTCCTGCGCTCGGCAATCCTGGGAAGCCGGGACCGGACGGCCTGCACGCCAGGACGAGCGGAGACTCTTGGGGACCGGGGTGACAACGGGGACCCCGGGTCGTGCCCTCACCTGGCCCTGGGTGTACAGACCGCACGGCCCCAACCGTCACCACCAGTTTTTGCGAGTGAGGACTGACGGGCGCACAGCCACGCGCGTTGGTGCCGGGACGACCGCTGGCTGCCCCCCCCCCCCCACTGCTGTGGCCCCGCTGAGCAGCCCGGCAGATGCGGTGCGGATGCCAGGCCCCAGGTTGTCCCCGAGCAGCAATCCACGGGCAGTCCGCGGGGGTCCAGGTGGGGAGACCAGCTCCGCGGTCGTGCGGACAGGTGCGTCCCCAAACCTCCCCGGGTGCCCCGGCATCAGGGCGCAGCCTGCACCCCACACTGCGTCAGCCCTGGTTCTTCCCCCTGACCAGCCCTGCCACCAGCAAGCGCAGGATTCTGAGCACTGACCACACATGCTCACACCGAGGCACATGCATGGGCACGCACGCACACGTGTACACACGCACGCATTCACACGGGCACGCACGCACGCGTGTACACAGGCACACTTGTATACACAGACTCGCATTCACTCGGGCACATGCACACACTCACTCTGACCTCCTGGGCCAGCGTCCTCACTGCCCCTTGCTGTTAGGGTTGTCGGGATCCCTCCTTGAACCTGTGGGACCCCAGGAAGGGGCCTCAAACGAAGGGGTGCTGGCCCACCCCGGAGAGCCATGGTGCCCCTGCCAGACAGGGACACCCAGAAGACACACAGTGTGAACAGCCCCCAAGGAGCCCCTTATGGGGCAGCCTCACCCCTGGGAGGGCACCTGGAAGGCCAGAAAGTCATCCAGGCCGCCTGGCCCCTCCCGAGTGGGCACCTGGGTTGAGGGTGAGGAACCGAGCACCCCAAGTACTCCCCGTGGGCGTGACACAGGGCCACAGTGATGGCTGCAGGGCCTCCGAGAGGAGACCCCGTAGGCAGGTCTGTAGACCAAGGGGATCCCACGGACGCGGAGGGGTCTGCGCACCAGGCAGGATCCACACCCCCAGGCCCGGGAAGGCTGCTCCCAGGGCCCCCAGCCCACCTTTACTCAGACCATGAACAGGGCTTCACTCCTCCCCTCTCCTCATCTGCATCCCCACTGCCCCCCCCAACGCTGCTGGGAACCAGTGCACACCCGCTCCTGAGACCCCTGCCCTGCCCCCAAGCCCAGCCCTGTGCCAGCCTGCCGTGCCCGCTGGGGCCCAGGGCACCCCAAGAGCAAAACCCCTGGGCAGCCCTCTTCCCGTCACCCTGAACCCAACCCAACCCACCCTGAACCTGAACCCAAACCAACACATCTTCGGCCCAGGACCCTCCTCGGCAGGCGCCCATGTGCCGACGGCACCCTTGGGCAGCCCACGCCGGGGTCTCTGCAGCACCCTCTCCCCGAAGGCAGGCGGGGCAGGTGGGGTGGGGAAGGCCCCGAAGCTGGGGCCCAGGGGGTTGCCCCGTTGTGGCGCACGCACCCCTCAGGGAGTCCCTGCCTGTCTAGTAGAGTCACAGGCCCTTGGCCAGACACTCAGGCCCTGGCTGGAGCCGGAGCTCGGAGGGAGGGCCCTGGGCACAGGCGGGTCAGGCGCTGACCCCTCCCTGCCCCGCAGCTCACACGGGGCACCAGCCGGGCTCCACGGAGCGCTCGGAGCCCTGGCCCGGGGCCTCCCCATGTCAGGCCTGCGCCGGGCACCACGGCGACGACCGGAGGCCCCGTGACTCTGGCACCGCGGCGGCCACACTTCCTTCCCAGAGGCGCCCTGCCCAGGCCACACCCACAGCTGCCTGGTGGGTAAACAGCGGCCAGGGAACGGCTCCCTCCCCGGGCGTCCCGGCCCGGACCTCCCGCCAGGCAGGGCCACTCCCCACTGACGGGGGACAGGGGCTGGGGGAGGCCGGGGCCCGGGGGCAGGGGGGCGCTGAGCTCACAAGAACCGCACAGGCCACTGTCCCAGGAGGGATCGCAGCCCCTGGGCCCCCGCGGGGCGACCCCAACTGGACTCCGGGGCATGCGGTGCGACACCACCCTGGTCTGCGGCTCGCCCACGGGGCCCGGCCCCTCCGTGAGGCCAGGCTGTGCTGACACTGGCCCTGGCCCAGGCCCAGAGGCCCCGGGCAGCCCGGCACCGCCCCACAGGTGATCCCGCAGGCCCTGGCAGGCGAGCGGCCAGAGACGCAGCCGGCTGGGCCCAGGCGAGGGACCCAGGCCCCCGCTGTCCTGTCCCCTGCCACATTGGGGTCCTCGCTGCCCCCCGGCCCAGTACGAGGACGGAGCTGCGTGTGGGCAGGGGCCTGGAGACAGGGGTGCCGGGCTGCCCAAGGGCTCCACGCAGGAAACAGGGCCCTTGAAGCCGACCTCTCAGCCCGGGTCCTTGGGGAGCTGGGGGAGGGCACACGGCCGCAGCGCCCAGGCACCGCTGGGGACACGCAGAGCCCAGGAGGCTCTCGGGGGGGCCAGACCCCAGAGCAGCGTCGCTCATCCCCGGAGGGTCCCCGCTCTGCCCAAGGCCGGGCCCTCTGCAGGGCCACGGGGCCGGGAGAAGCCGCCTGGCAGGCAGCCTTGGCAGGAGCCCCGCGGCCCAGCCTCCGCTCCCCTGCCCCCCCGAGGTCTCACCCGTGCAACCAGCTCAGCAAACCCCCGGAGCAGCCAGGCCTGAGCTGGCCCGCGGCCAGGAGGAGCCGGCCGGCCGCCTGCCAGAGCTCCCGGCCTCCCCTGCGGCCTCCCGGCTCTGCGGCCTCGGGACCCGAGTGGCTGTGGAACGTGACAGCGGCCTCTGACCCAGCCAGGGCCACGTCTGCCCTGGACCCCCTCCTCGTCCTCCCATGGGGACAGGCCACCCGGAGTCCAGGGAAGAGGTGACGACCCAGCTTCTGGAGCAGGGACGGCGCAGGGGCCCCTCCCAGGTGCCCGCAGGCCTGAGTCCAGACCCCTGCCCTCCCACAGGCAGCAGCCCCGAGCCCCGAGGGAAGGGCAGGCCTCCCCGCGCCCCTGGGCCCACCTCTGCCCAGGGAGCCGGGGAGAACAGCTTGGGGGGGCACAGCCTGGACACCCGGGCGGCCGCTTGTCCAGGGCCACACACGGGAGGCGCCCCTCCCCCACGACAGACCCCGGATCTGCGGGACAGGCCATGGGGCCAGGCTGGCACATCCGGCCCCTGACTCGTGGGCTCAGAGGTTTAACCGCCGCCAGCATCATCCCAGCGGATGATGGGATGCAGCAGACCGCATCCCTGTGTCCGCTCTGCGATGGCTACCGCTGCCCATGCCCCGCGTCACCCCGTGCTGGCCAGGTCCCCTGAGTGGCAGCTGCCTACAGCTACGGATCACGCCAGCCTGTGACTCACTGGGCACCTTGCTCTCGGCCCCCCTGGCTCCCCGAGGTCAGGGAGGCTTTGCCCGGTAGGACCTGGAACAGGTGTCCATCCTTGTCTGTCCAGGGACCCTCCCCAGGACCAGCCATCAGTGGCCGAGCCTCCATCCTGGACGACGGGTGCGCCTGGGAGGGAGCGAGCCTGCTCTCCTGCCCGGGGACCGGCCTGCTGGGATTCTTGACTGGCTGGCTTCAGAAGCTGGAGTCCCACCCTCCCGGGGTGGGGTGTGGGTCACAGAGGCCAGAAGCCTCGTATGGGTATGGCACCCTGGATGACTCACAACTGGGGAAGTTTGAAAAACACCAGCTCGGAGATGAAGGCTGGGGGCCTTGGGCTCGGTCACTCCTGCTGCCCATGAGACCATCCCTTCCCCACTCTGGGCCCTGCTGTCCTGGGGCCAGGCCCCAACCAGGGCCACCCCACCTGGGGGTCCTCAGCCAGAGCAGTACCCCCAAACCACCCACAGAACAATGCCCACACCCCTGGCACCTCAGCCTGAAGAGTCGGAGCCTGTGGGGTCAAGGCAGGCCTGGGTCACCAGTACCTCGTAGGGAGACAGGAGGGGTCACGCACAGCACGACGCCTGGGACTCGGCCCAGGTACACAGTAGGTAGTGAACGCAGGTGAACGCATGAGGGCGGGCACCCAGAGCTGAGGATCTTCCCTCAGATCGCAACGCAGCTCGGCAGCGGGTTCAGGTCTCGGGTGGGAGGGGGCTGGGCACCCGGCCTGGCAGCTGCATGCACTTGCTGAGACCTGGGGGGGGTCTTCTCCTCTTGTGAATGTTTGGGGGAGGGAACCCACCCCCCAGAGTGCCAAGGGACAGGGTGTGTCACCCCCCAAAGGCACAGTGAGCAAGCCTGCGGCTGGGCCCTGCTCCGGGGGAGAGAAGGGGACCGGCTCGAAGGCCCTGCCCTGGGGCTGCTCCATTCCTGCGGGAGACCCCGACAAGGATTTGCCGCCAGGCGGGCCCCCCGGGCCTCCACGTCTGTGCGCCAGCTCTGGAGGCCGCTGATAAATGGCAGTTCCTGGCACGTGCCTGGCGCACACCAGGGCACACCGACAGCTGTGGCCTGGCTGCCCTGAACACACCCCGCACAGCCCCACTGTCCTGGACGCGCAGGCTCCCAGAGGTGGGTCGGCGCGTGCAACTGGAGCTCCCAGCGGCTCCTCCCGGCTGGGCAGTGCCCACACCCGGGCGGGGGGCTCCACTGCCAGGCCGGACAGGCCACTGTCCCACACGGGGAGGGGGTGTGGGCACTGAGGGAACGGGCCTTGGGAAGGCCCCGGACCCTGCGGCCCCAAACACCTGGGCCAGGTTGTAGGCGGCCAGTGGAGCCCACCTGATGGCCGGGCCACAAACGGGAGCACCCAACTCTTAATATCGGGAGCCGAGGTCAGAAGAGAGGACGACACCAGAGGAGGCAAGTGAAGCGAGGACGGGGGCGGGCAGGGCCGTTTGGGGACCAAGCCCCGGGGGGGCTGCACAGAGAGTCACTGCGGACCGAGGCTCCGTGGGTGGCTCCGGTTACAGCCGAGGGTGGCCGTGGCAGGGGTGACGCCCACGAGTCCACGGCTGCCAGCTCGCATGCCGGGATCCCAGCCTGGCCTGCTTCCTTCCACGAGGGGTGGGGGTGTGGAGAGGGCCGTGTTGGTGTGCAACCTGGCTTAGCTGCAGGCTGGGGAGGGGGTGGCGGGCGTTGGAGGATCGGGGGGCCACGGCCTCCCCTGTGCTGGGTTGGGGAGCCCAGAGAGCAGATGGGGGGAGCCCTCCCTGCCCCTGACACACACACTCAGGAGCAGGAACAGGCCCGGGCTGGCCGTCCTGCCTGGTGGGGGAAGTGGTGGCCACAGCGGCCGGAGACCTTGGCCACCGCAGGGCGCAGGCTTGGTAGCCTCCAGGAGGCTCTGTGGCAGCCCCCTGCCCCCCGCCCCGACCTGCCGGGGTGGGGCAGGGCCACCGTCGCTGTCACCGGGGAGGCCCTATGTGGGGTCACATGACTGTGCCTAAATGGCTTCTGGCACATCTCAGGAAGAGATGGTGCCAGCGGGGTGACTGTTGGGGAGTGATGGTCTCCCTGCCACGGCCGCGAGGCTGCGAGGAAATCTGGGTTCCACGGAGGGAAAAAGTTGGGCCTCTGCGCGGGGGCCATCGGGCGCAGCCGGAGATAAGGCCCGGCGAGCCCGGCGAGCGGAGACATTAGCGCCTGATTAATGCCTAATCACTTATCCGTGCGACAGCTCAGGGCCATGTGACACCGTATCCAGGAGACTCTTCCTGCTGCCGGTCCCTGCAGTGGGCGCAGGTGCCTCCCTCCCCGGCCCCCCCCCCCGCCCCGCCGGCGCCCCCGTGCCCGAGGCTCGGCCCTGCCCGCGCCCCCAGGCCCCGCCGTCCGGCCCGGCCCCGGCGGCCCAGGAGCCCGGGACCCGCACCCGCTCCGGGCGCCCCGCGCGTCCCCCCATGACGCCCCGAAGACAGCGGGACTCCGCGGTGCGCCCGGACAAAGAAAAGTGCGTTAGTCACGGCGGGCGCGCGGGTCGGGGCGCAGGGCCGGGGGCGCACGCGGACCCCCCCCCACCCCCCGCCCCCGGCTCCGGCCGCGCCGGGACCCGCGCCCCCAGCCCCGCGCGGAGCCCGAAGGCGGCGCCGGCGGTCGGAGCCCTGGGTCGGCGGGGCCCGTCCCGAGCGCGCCCCGGGGAGCCCGCCCCGGGGACCCCCCGCCCGCCCGCCCCGCCCGCCCGGCCCGCCCGCGCTCACTTCCTCGTGCAGTCCAGCAGGACCCCCGCGAAGCGGCGCCCCCCGCAGCTCGCCGTGACCAGCAGCGCGCCGTGGGCGACCTGCTCCACCCGCGCCGGCAGCCGGCAGCCCGCCCGCGGCTCCATGCTCCGCCGCCGGCCCGCGCCCCCGCCCCCGCCCCGCCGCCGCCGCCGGGTCAGCCCGCGCGTGACGCCGCCCGCCGGCCGCCTGACGTCACAAAGCTCCGCTCGGGGCGGCCACGGCGGGCGGCGGGCGGGGGGGCGCGGGGCACCGGCGGGGGCGGCGGGCGGGGGCGGGGGCCGGGGGGGCGGGGGGGGCGCGCGCGCATCGCGGACCCGGGGCAGGGCCGGGCGCCCCCCTGGGACCCCCGCCCCGCCCCGCCCCGCCCCGCCCCGGGCCAGCGCCCCCCGCCCCCCGCGCCCCGCGCCCCGCGCCCCGCGGCCCCTGGGGAGGAAGAGGCCGCCCACGCGACACGGGGCCAGCGCTGCGACGGCGCGGGGGCTGCGGCCGCGACCCCTCCGCCCCGCCCCGCCCCGGCCCGGCCCGGCCCGTCCCGCCCCGCCCCGCACCGCCCGGCGCGCACCGCCCAGAGGCCGCGTCCCCGCCCCCCCCGCCCCCCCCCGCCCCCGCAGGACCCCGCGCCCCCCCCCGCCCCGACCCACGGGCCCCGCGAGGGCGCCCGGCGGGGCTCGGGAGCGGGCGCGGGCCGCGGGGTTGTCCTGACGACCCGGACGCCGCCAGGCCCCGCCCCCCGCCCCGCCCCGCGCGCCCCGCCCGCCCCGCCCCGCCCCGCCCCGCGCGCCCGGCCCGGCCCGGCCCGGCCCTGCCGCCACCCCTGGCGCCGCTGGGGACGCTCGGGCCGCGGTGGCGCCGCTCGTCGGGCCCTCTGGCGGCGGCCGCGGGGCGCGGGGCGCGGGGAGCCCCCAGCCTTCCGGGCGGAGGACCCGGGCCCGGGGGGCCCCGGGCACGCGTGGGGTCCGGCGCACAGCGCCCCTCGGCCGCGGGCCCAGGCACCTCCACCAGGCCCGCTCCGGCCCGGCCCCGGCCCCGGCCCCGGCCCCGGCCCCGGCCCCGGCCCCGCGCAGGGAGCCTCCCGCCCCAGAGCTGCTAGGGCTGACCTTGGGGCAGCGATGCCAGGCCGCCCGCCTGCTCCGCACAGGTGCCAGGCGAGCCCCAGATCCCTCGGGCGCCGGCGCCAACTCCGTGCACCAGGTTGCTGGGGCTCGAGTCAGCTCCGGGGCCGCTGGGGACAGGACAGGCCTGAGCGCGTCCGTGTGTGCCCCGGGCCCCGCGTGTGCATGGAGGGGCTGCGTGAGTGAGCAGCACCACCCAGGGCGGAAGGGGCCCACGGCGGCTCGGGCAGGGCAGCAGTGCTGGGTGCTAGGGCGCTCAGAAGGGGGCCCTGTGCCGGGCACCCGGTAATGTGGTGAGGCAGGAGGCTCCTGGGGCCACTCCGGGGCGATGGGACAGCCGGCGAGCGTTTGCTGGGGCAGGGAGGGGCCCACAGAGGGCGCAGAGGGTGTGCAGACCCCCCCACCCCCGCACCACGAGTGGAGGACAGGTGTGAAGAGGAGACCCCACCAGCTGTGTGCTCTGCCCCCGTCAGAAACCCAAGGCAGGACACAGGAATCTGCAGTGGGACTCTGATTTGCAATTTAAAGAGCGATGGTCTAGGGCTCCCCCTGCCCCCACCCCTCCCCAGAGCATCCCTCCCAGCCCAGCCAACTCCCGGGCTCCCCACCCGGGGCCTCCCCACCCCAGTCTCCAATTAAAATGCAGATATCCTTAGGAAGGGGCGCCGACTCCTTCCTGACCGGGGCCCACCCTACACATGCTGATGAGCGAGACCCCCATGGCAGGTTCTAGAGAGCAGGGCCCCAGGCAGCGGGGCTTAGAGGGGCCCCAGAGGAGCTGTGCAGTGGCCGCTGCTATAGGAAAACGAGCCGAGCCGGAGCCGCCTCCCCCTGTCTGTGGACTTTGTCCCTGAAGCCTCTGCTTTCTGCCGCCGGCACTACGGCCTCCACCGGGCCTACCCAGCGCCCAGCCCTTGGCCTGGCCTGCCCGGGGCACCAGATGGCAGGGTAGTGGCTGAAGGGGGACGGGAGACCGTCCAGCACCTTCACTGGGCTGCTCTGAGTGACCATGAGCTTGCAGGAGGGGGGCAGGGGTGCTCCAGGTGGGGGGCTAACCTGCGTCCTCCAGGATCTGCCCCCAGTCCCTGCTGACCCCATGCCCACCACCAGCCCCAGCACCACCGTCCCTGCTCTGGGCCCCGTAACACACAGGACAGCCCTCCGAGCCCTGCCCACATTATTCTCTGTAATTGTCCTTTCTTGGGGCCACCTGAGTTTGCTGGTCCCCCCAGCAGCAGGTGACCCCCTGCCCCCCCCCCCACCTGGGCCTGCTCCCACTGCCTTGCAAGTGTGAGGGGGCAGGGGGCCCTGGTGCCGGGACCAGTCACCCGACTGCATGTCTCGGGCCAGGCAGCCGCTGGAAGGCAGCGGACAAGATGAGCCCCTGAGAATTAGGGCCTGGGAGGGGGTGGGGTCATCAAGGTCATCCTAGGCCCGGGGTAGAGTGGGGTGCTCGGGCCGACGGGAGCCCCCGGGGCCCCCTGCGCCAGCACCGGCGTACGGCCCACGCGGCGTCCCCAGGGCCCTGAGACTTCCACACTGCTTGTGCTACGTCTGACTGCTGCAGGGTCACATCTGGAGCCCATCCCTGCCCCGCGGATTATGGGGAGGACGGTCACGTCTCACGGGGAAGCATGTCACAGGCCCGGCGGGGACTCCACGGGAAGTGCCGCAGAGCAGTTCAGGGGACAGACATGGGCCGGGTTGCCGGAGGCCTGCCTGGGGAGCCTGGGAAGGCCGCCTACCTCCCCGGGGCCTCAGTGTCCCCATCTGTAAAGTGGGAATAACTGCAGCACCACACACAGCCTCCTGGGGGACAGTTGATGGCTGAATACGGGAGTACTTAGTACAGCACTGGCTTCCAGGGAGGATTCAGGAAAAGTCGTTGCCACCACTGTCTCCCTGTCACCACATCACCCCCTCTGCCACCACCACCATCCACTGTCGCCTCCCGTCCCCTCTGTCACCACCAGTGTCTCATCACCACCACCGTCCCCGCTGGCTGGAACTCGGGTGCTGGTCAGGGCTGCGCCGGAGCAGCAAATCCGGGCGGGTCGGCCCGCCTGCTGTTTAGCCCGGCCCCGGTGCCTCCTGCAGAGCTGCCCTCACCCCGCTCTCCCCACGACCTGTGCCCTCCTACGTCCTTGGCGGAGGGGCAGGGGCATCCCCTGTGAGCAGGGAGGTGAGGCCCTCAGTGACTGCCCTGAGTCCCCGCTGGGCCCGGATCCGAGAGGTCCTGCAGGTGCGGGGACCACAGCAAGGACACTTTTAGGGCCGGCAATTTTTTCCTAAAATCATTACATTCATTGCAAAACCCTTGATCTGTGAGCCTCTTTTTCCGACCGAGCTGGCTGTTTCCTGCTTACGACGAGCGTGTTCTCCACGAAAAGGAAAATGAACACAGGGTGTCCCAACTGCTGTGGGATCGCCGGGAAATAACCGGTGGCCGGCCAGGCCCTCATTTGCTCCCCTCCAAAGGCCTCCTGGGTCCTCGGCACCTGCCCAGGCCCTCATTCTACAGGGCTGCCGCTGGCCCTGGGGGTTGCAGAGATTTCTCCAGAAGAGGGCCGCCCCCCCCGCCCCCCACCCCGGCAATGCTGATTCAAACCGCTTGGCCAGCGGCGGCCTGGGCAGCGGCCGCCCTCTCGCATAGGGTGGGAGGTTGGCAGTGTCCCCGCGGGGCTGCGCACGAGCGAGGCCCGGGGTAGCCTCCGCTGCCCGGAGCCCGCCTGGCCCTGCTCAAGACCCCGGCCTGAGAAGCAGCCGGAGGGCAGGAGGCGCACAAAAGCCAGGTCACCCAGAGTGGGCGGCTGGCCCACCGTGGGGGTGGCGGGCAGAGGGAAGAAGAGCTGGGCCGCTGCCCCGGGGGCCCGCCGGTGGGACTGTGCCCACGGAGGGAGCAGAGCGGGGTCACCCCTGGGGGTGGCTCAGCCCCCCGAAGCCACTGGCACCCGGACTCACGTTTAAACACGTGGCTGAGTGGCGCAGCAGTGTAGCGCCTGCCTTTGGCCCAGGGCGCGATCCTGGAGACCCGGGATCGAATCCCACATCGGGCTCCTGGTGCATGGAGCCTGCTTCTTCCTCTGCCTGTGTCTCTGCCTCTCTCTCTCTCACTGTGTGCCTATCATAAATAAAAAAAAAAATAAAATAAAATAAACACGTGGCTGGACGTTCCCGAGGCGCAGCAGGAGGCCCGGGAGGAGGAGGAGGGCGAGCGGAGTCGTGCCAGGTGCCTCCCGGGGGGGTCCCGACGGCCGCGCCCCTGCCGGGTCCTGCGGCAGAGCCGCATCCCCTCACCGATGACCGATGACCGATGACCGCCACACACGGGCCGCGAGAAGCCCAGAGAAACTAAACTCGCCTGAGACCCCAGGCGGCCTCCTGGGTTTTTGTTCCCCGGACACCTCGTTAACCTCCTCAGACACCTTCTGTTTGTGGTTCTGAGCAAACCTCACACCAGAAAGTGCGGCTGCTATTTGCTAAAACGTCGCATCTCACAGTTGAACTTGTCCTAAGTGACCCAACCTGGCGGTTATCGGGGCAACAACCCCTCGGCGCTCCCGGAGGATGTTTTCACAGAGGCCTAGGGGGGCCGTCTCACCTCCCGCTCTCGGCCCCCAGGCCCCCAGGCCCCCAAGCCCCCGGACCCGCACCCACGACAGGCACCCCCTCACCCGCACCCAGAGGGCAGGCGGCGGTATCGCAGGCAGAGGCCTGTGCTGCTCCCCAGGCCGAGTCCAGGGAAGGGCATTCCCGGGCACACACCACACCTCGCTGTGGAGGCCGGGGAGGCCCTCGGGCGAGGGGTCAGGTCTCTCCCATAGCGCCCACCCCATGCCTCAGGCGCACACGGTCCGTCAGCTGCCCCGTGTAGCAACACAGGGACGGGGGAGCAAGGAGATGGAGGCCCCCACTGGGAGCACAGGGCCAGGGGGGCCAGGGACGGGAGTCACTGGGAGCACGGGGATGGGGGTGCATGGGGATGGGGGACCACTGGGAGCACGGAGGTGGGGGAGCACAGGGATGGAGGCCCCCACTGGGAACATGGGGATGGGGGGCACGGTGATGAGGGGCCCACTGGAATCATGGTGATGGGGGTGCACAGGGACAGGATTCCAGTGGGAGCACGGTGATGGGGGAGCACGAGGGCCCACTGGGAGCACGAGCATGGGGGAACAAGGAGATGGAGGCCCCACTGGGAGCACAGGGATGGGGGAGCACGGAGATGAGGTGCAGCAGCTGTCCACCTGCAGGGTCCGACCTGCTCCGTCCCCCCCAGGTGGACATGGAAGCTTATGCTTTGGTGCTGGGAGGTGGGGATGTTTTCCCCCTGAGCTCTGATTCCCAGGAGCCTCTGGCTCCCTGAGGACACAGTCACCTCTGCCCACAGTTCCTGGGGCCTGAGCCCTGGCCACCCCACCACACTGTGGGTCACTTCTGGGCGTCTCCTGGGCTAGCTGGCGGCCAGTGGAGGATCCACGTGGCAGGAGCTCCCGGCTGACGGGCACCTCTGGCTCAGGTCCCCCAGGAATCCAGGGGCGTGAGGTGTGAGCCAGGGCTTCCCCAGCAGGACGCAGGTGCTTGGTCCAGGTGGTGGACAGACATCCCAGACGCTAGCCTGTGGGGTGGCCCTGCCCGGGCCCTGGCGTCCCTGGGTGTGTGCAGCAGGAGGGCCCAGGGCCGGGTCACCAACAACCCGTGGCGCCACCTGCAGGAAACCCTGGGTCATGGCACCAGGGCACGCAGGGTCGGGGGCTGGGCAGGGGAGCAGGTCCTGGGTGGGGACACCTGGCCACGGCCCCCCATCCCACCTCCTAGCACAGTCACTGCCCCCAGAGATCCCTGGCCCTCCCACCTCCTCCCCAGGGCGGGGAGCATTAAAGGGAGGACCTGGTGGTGCTCACTCAGGAACTAAGGGAGGAGGAGATGCGACCCAGCAGCACGGGGCCAGGAGGGCAGCGCAGGGGCCAGGAGGGCGCCCCCACCCAGGCACTCGGCATCTACCCGGAAGCAGCCACGAGGCCAGCGGGAGCAGGGCCAGGCCAGGATGGGCCCAGGTCCGCCCTGTGTGCGCAGCTCACAGGAAGTGAGGGAACCCCGGGTCACGGGCCCCCCCTGGGATGGGGCCCAGTCTGGTCCCTGCTCAGCGGGGAGTCTGCCTCTCCCTCCCCTCCCCCTGCACACACACGCGCTCTCTCTCTCAGATAAATAAAATCTTTTTTTAAAAAGAGAAATGAAGGAAGTACATCGTGGTAGAGGAGTGTCACTTCAACAGCCTGCTCTTGGGAGAAGCCCCGAGGAAAGCCAGCGCTGGCAAGCGGAGGAGGGGAAGCAGGGGGGGTCCCCAGGCTCCCGCCATCCAGGCCAGACCACCCGCCTTCTGGAATCAAGCAGGCGCCAGGCTGTGGAGGCATTTGTCGGGGGTGGGGTGGCCCTGGCTCAGAGGTCAGGGCAGCAGCACTGGGACAGCACACCAGCTTCTGGGGGGTCACTGGACCCCCGGTGGGCCTGGTCTAGCTCTGGCCCCCGCTCCTCGGAGGCCAAGGAGCTGCCAAATCCAATCAAGGGCATTTTCAAGGTGAAGGCCGTGAATTTATTTAACTCGCAGTCAGCGGGTCCTGCAGAGTGAGGCGGGCAGGGTGTGACCGGCCTGTGGGGGGGAGGCGTGCAGGCTGCAGGGCTGAGGCCGGGACTGGCAGTGCAGGGTGGGGGTGAGGGCTCAGCCAGCGCCCCGGGGCAGCGCCCCTCCCTGGTGGGCAAAGACCCGGGCAGCAGAGGTAGGGGAGACACTCAGACACGCGGCCAGCCGAGCGGCACACACGGGGCACGGGGGGCGTCCACGGTACTCTCTCCTTTAATCCAGCTTAAACCCGGTCCAGCCTCTGCGAGGCCGCACAGATGAGGCTGGGAAGGTGGGCCCAGGGGTGGCATCGGCACCCGCCCCCTGGGACACGTGGGGAGGGGGCACCTGGGCGGCACACGAGCTGCTAGACCCACTTCTCGGCCCCGAGGATCTTCGCTGGGCACAAGCAGCGCACGCTCCGAGCATCTGTCCGCTGTCTCAGACTCTTAGTGTTTCACGTTAAACAATATGTCCCAAGGCCGCGACGCAGGTGGGTGCCGTGGCGGGCGTCCAGCGAGAGCTGTGAACTGCTGGCTTCTAGTCCAGGTGGGCCCCAGCCTCAGCTTCCTCACTTGCTCCTGGAGTTTTCTGGCCTTTGGGGAGAACGGGAGGGGGTCAAAGTCAGCCAGACCGCTGGATGGTGCCCAGGGAGCAGCACCCGTCCCTCTGGCCTACTCACGGCAGGGCCGCCGGGCAGGGGCCCAGCTGACTGTGCCCCGCGTCCCCAGAGGACTGCGGCCTCTCTAGGTGGGCCCGGGCTGCTCTGCTTGGGAGTCCCCACCCTGGCCCCACCGTGACCTCCGCCTACAGCCACGTAGACGCCAGGTGATGGAGGGATGAAGGCTCCTCGCTCACACGGCGTCGTCGGCAGCAGCCTGCCCACGATCCCACCCGAGACTCACACCTGGCCCGGGAGGGCTGGGCTGCACCTGCATCCTCACCCCCAGACCTAGTAACAGGACCCAGGGTCCCTGAGAGCGGTGCAGGGGCCCCGCGGCCCTCACAGGGACAGTGCGGCCGGCGGGCACTTGTGCCTGCAGTGCTGGGGCCGCCCACCCCCCAGAGGGGACTCGTCCTTGGTGCTCCCCCGTGTTCCTCAGTTGTATGTCCCTGGGGGTGACCTGGCGCCCCCCAGCCCAGGCACCAGGGTCCCTCCTACAGATCCATCACAGCTGTGGGCTCCAGGAACGGCCCTGTGACCCGGTGCAGACCACGGCCAACCCTGGGCCGACGCGGAGGCGGGGGCGCCAAGGCCGCACCCCCCAGATGCACATGTGACCACTCACTCCCCGAAATGGCAGCAATACCACCCGCGGCCCACCAGCACCTGCCGGCGGCCATCGAGTCGGCCAGACAGGGAACCCACTCAGGACATCACACGGAAAGCAGGTTCGCAGCGCCGTCCCGGGGGCGGGCTGCTCCCGGCAGATGTACCTGCTGCTCCGACAAGTGGCCACCGTGACATCTTTTTCCAGTAGGAATGGTGTTCCGCCTGGCGGCTCCGGGGCACCCTTCTGGGTCAGCTTCCTCTTTTCTAGGACGTACTCCTCTGTCCCGCTCCGCTCCCTTGTTTGGGAGGAAAGACTTGTGCCGTCGCTTCCTCGGAGTCCCTGCCTGCGCCTCCGTCCTCCGCTGGCCCCGGGCCTGGTAATCCCGGCCATCGTGGCCATTGGGCCCGGACCTCCTCCCACGCTGGGCGCCTGCCCCCAGTGAGGAGCCTGTGCCCCCATCCTGTTCTCCAGGCCCTTCCTGTGTGCCCTACTCCTGCCCAGGGATCTCGGGTTTCAGTTTCAAATTAGACATTAGAGAGCCAGGCGGCTTTACTCCTGAGGAGCCGTCTTCATCCCCCGCCTGCTGGGACATTTGTCACAATCCGTGAACTGACACGGACCCGTCATCACCCAGGGTCGGCAGTCCTCACATCAGGGCTCGCTCTTGTGTTGTGCGTTCTAGTGCTTTAGACAAACGTGCAGTGACAGGCGCCCATCACTGAGCCGTCGCACGCCCCCCCCCCCCAGCGCCGGCAGCCACTCATCCCTGGACGTCTGCACAGTTTTGCTTTTTCCAAAATATTATCCAGCTGTCACCTTCTCTGACTGGCTCTCACTTAGCAGATGCACCTGCGGTTCCCCCAGGTCTTTTCTTTCTTTCTTTCTTTCTTTCTTTCTTTCTTTCTTTCTTTCTTTCTTTCTTTCTTTCTTTTTCTTTCTTTCTTTCTTTCTTTTCTTTCTTTCTTTCTCTTTCTCTTTCTTTCGTTTTTCTTTCTTTCTCTTTCTTTCTTTCTTTCTTTCTTTCTTTCTTTTTTAAGATTTTATTTATTTATTCATTCATGAGAGACAGAGAGAGAGAGGCAGAGACACAGGCAGAGGGAGAAGCAGGCTCCACGCGGGGAGCTCGATGAGGGACTTGATCCCCAAACTGGGACCACACCCTGGGCTGAAGGCAGGTGCTCAACCACTGAGCCACCAGGGATCCCTCTTTTTTTTTTTTTTTAAGATTTTATTTATTCATGAGAGACAGAGAGAGAGAGGCAGAGACCCAGGCAGAGGAAGAAGCAGGCTCCCTGCAGGGAGCCCGACACGGGACTCGATCCCAGGACCCCGGGGTCACGCTCTGGGCTGAAGGCAGACACTCAGCCCCTGAGCCCCCCAGGCGTCCCTCCCCCAGGTCTTTTCAGGGCACGGCAGCTCATTCCTTTTCGGTACCAATCCACATCCCATAGGATCCACACAGGTGGCTTACCCACTCACCTACCGAGGGCTATCCCGGTTTCCGTGAGTTTGGTAACTGAGTGAGGCTGCCATGAACATCCGTGAGCAGTATTTGCGTGGACATGTGTTCAAGTCCTTCAGGTAAGTGCCGACGAGCACAACTGCTGAATCTCAAGGTAAGATGATCTCAATTTTCGGGTAAATCACCGAACGGTCTCCCAAAGGGCCCGCACCCTTCTGCATCCCCACCAGCAACGAATGAGAGTTCTGCTGCCCCGCGTCCCGGCCAGCGTCTGCGATGAGGATGACAGCCATTCTCATACACGGGTGGCGGGACCCCTGTTCTGGTTTGCAATTCCCCAATGACATAGAGTATCGAGCACCTTCTCCTATACTCAGCATCTACATGTCTGGGGACCTGTCTGTTCAGATCCGTGGCTCACTTTTTAACTGGGTTGTTTTCTTTCTATATTTTGGATAACAGTCCTTTATCAGATGTGTCTTCTGCAAATATTTTCTCCTCGTCTCTGGCTTGTCTTAATCTTTCGACAGCACCTTCCACAGAGAAAATTTTAAGATTTTAATGAAGTTATCAATTTTTTTCTGTTGCACCTCTGATGTTCTATGTAAACACTCCCTGCCAACCCCAGGTCATCTAAACTTTCTATTTTCTAGAAGTTTTACAGTTTCACATTTAGGTCTGCGATGCATTTTGAGTTGACTTTTGTGGAGGCCTGAGGTCTGGCTCTATATTCATTATTTTGCAAGTGGACGTCCAGCTGCTCCAGCACCACCTGCCGAAGAGAGCGTCTTGCTCCTCTGTCCAACATCCATCGACTGTATTTACGTGGGCCTGCTGCTCTGATCCATGGACGTTGGTCTACTTTGTCACCAACATCACACCGTCTGGATGCCACAGCTCCACAGAGTCTAGGTCGGGCAGTGCCAGACGTTCAACCTTGTTCTTCCTCCTCAGTATTTGTGGGCGACTCTGGGCCTGTGCCTCCTCCCCGTCTAAACATTGACATCAGGTTGTCCACACCCGCAGAACAACTTGCTGGGATTGGGATGGGGATCGTGCTGACTCTCTAGACCAAGCTGGAAAGGACGAACGTCTTGACGATAGGAGTCTTCCTATCCATGAACATGGGATTCCTCTCCATGCATTTAGGTCTTGTTTGATTTCGCTCGTCACAGCTTGGTTTTTCTCTTATAAATCTTGTATGTATTGTGTTAGATTTGTACCTGGCACCATTTTTTCTTTTTGGTGCTAATGTAAATGATGTTCTTCATTTCAAATCTCACTTGTTTGCTGATGGTAGAGTAAGAAGTGGGCTTTAATAGATTAACCTTGGATCCCAGAAACTTACCATAATCACTTATTAGTTCCAGGAGCTTTTTGGTCAGTTCTTTGGGATTTTCTATATAGACAATTACATCATCTGAAAACAGACAGTTTTAGCTCTTCCTTCCTAATCTGTATATCTTATCCCTTTCTTATCCTGTTGGGAAAAAGCTGGGACTTCCAGAATGATGCTGGAGAGAAATGTTCAGAAGGGACATCCCTGCCTCGTTCCTTCAGGGCAAATGTAGATTCATGGTAGTTTCACTACCATGAAGTTTGATGTTCAATGTAGTTTTTTTTTTTTACATGTTCTTTATCAAGTTGAGGAAGTTCTATTCCTAGTTTGCTAAAAGCTGTTATCACAAATAGGTGCCGGATTTTGTCAGATGAAATGCTTTCTGTATCCACTAATATGATCTGTTAGTTTTCTTCCTTAGCCATGATGTGACGGTGCATTACATAAACTGATCTTCAAGTGTTGAATCAGCCTTGCACACCTGGGACAAATTCCACTTGATCCTGGTGTATAATTCTTTTTGTACGTTATTAGGTTGGATTTGCACATATTTTCTTGAGGATTTTTGCATCATTGTTCAGGACAGATGCTGGTTTGTAATTCTCCTCTCATGTGACACTTTTGTTCTGGTATTAGGGTAATGCTGGCTTCACAGAACAAACTCTGTTATCTTCCCTCTGCCTGTGTTTTCTAGAAGAGATTATGAAGAGTGGGTATAATTTCTTCCTTAACTGTTTGATAGAATTCACCAGTGAACCCACTGGAAAATTATTATTGATTCAATTTCTTTAACAGATATCAGCGCATTCAGATTGTCTATTTCTTCTTCTTCTAAGCTTTTATTTATTCATGAGAGACACACAGAGAGAGGCAGAGACACAGGCAGAAGGAGAAGCAGGCTCCATGCAGGGAGCCCGACACGGGACTCGATCCCGGGACCCCGGGGTCACACCCTGGGCCAAAGGCAGACGCTCAACCACTGAGCCACCCGTCGATTCCTTCTTGTGTGAGCTTTGGCAGTTGGCGTCTTGCGGGGAACTGGTCTGCTTCGTGTAGATTATCAATTTGTAAGCACAGGGTTGTTCATAACACCAAATCGACTTTTCAAAACTCCACAATCTGCAGCTTGAGACACAAATGTTTAGAAGCCCTAGAGGTAGGGTTTAGGGTGTTTAAGGAGGAGGTTACGACTATAAACAACAGATTTGAAGAGAATAAAGCTCACCTACGGCAGGTACCGTTCTCTGGGCTGTGAAGGAAAAAGTTCTGAGAAGAGGGAAGAGTCTGACGGGGTGGGGTCCCCACGACAGGCCCAGGCCCTCCCTCAGCCTGCACTCCCCCTCCCCTGTCCCACCCCGGGGTCCCAGAGAGGTGACAACGGAGCTGTCTGGTGGGCTGTGGGGACGGCCCTGAGGGCAGCGCCGGGGCTGAGGCACCACATCGGGGGTCGCAGGCCTGAACGGTGGGGGTCTGGGGAGAATAGGCACATTGTCCTGCACCTGTGAGCAGCGAGGGCACAGACTGCACGAGCTCCGTCGCCCGGGAGGACCCGGCTGGGTGGGGAGCTGCCTGCCTGTCCACGGCATCGCTCTCATGACCCCGACCACTCCTACACGTGCGGCAGGGGCCTCAGGGCCTGCGGATGGACATGCGCTGCCAGCAGCTGAGCGTGAGGAGGCCAGCCTCCCTGCCTCCCTGCCTCGCCAACCGCAGGCCCTCTCACAGCCCCGCCAGGCTCTGCTGGGCAGGAAGCATCGGCGAGGACCCCACAGACACGTCCCCTCCATCTCCACTGACCAAGCAGTGGCTGCTGCTGGCATCCCATCGGGGGCACAATGCATCTGTGGGCTCGTGCACCACAAAAACTCTTTCTTGCCCCCAACTGATGGCGATCCTGGGCACGGCCCTCACCATGAGGCACAGTAAGCGCTCCCCGTGATTTTGAACGTGTGCTGCAGAAAGGCATGGCAAGTCCCCTTGGATTTTTACCAGAACCGTTTATTTTTACACACAGCTGACAAATACTTACAATCTCTAAATCCTGCGTAGCCTGTCTGACTTCCTCGAGTGGATCCAGCCCCTGGAACTTTTTTCTGTGTTCGTGCAGTTTCTGAATGTGCTGTGTTGCGGTTTCTTCTAGATGCTCCTCTCGGAAGGCACTGAGGACACGAACGGTGAAGGAAAAAGTTTTACATGTCGGGTCGCGTCTCAGCAACTCTTACTCCAACAGGGGAGAAAATTGTCCCTTTTCCCCGAGTCACACTGCAGTCCTGGGGCTCAGGGGTTGTCACGACGTGGTGACCGATGTGGTGACGTCACGGTGGTGGTGAGGCCACCTGCCCCCCTCCGGGCAGCAACTCAGGCCCCGGCGTTCAGAAGCTGCGAGAACACACACTATATTTTCAACTGCAGACCCAGGTAGGAAATGCCTCATTCAGGACAACGCACGGAGAGCTACACGCAGGGGAGGTGTTTGTGTTCACAGGAGATGCACACGTGTAGTGAGTCCTTAAGCAGGACGTGTTAAACTAGGACTGCAGACGTACTTGCTCTGCCAACATCAGGGCTCTGTATGGTCTTTGCTCTTAAATGCAAGGGTGCTCAGCACGGCACAGCCTTCTGTGCCCCGCTGTGCAGGGTGGCCGTGGAGTCCGGGCTGTGTCTGCCCTGGAACATGACGGGCTCCCGCCGGCCTCCCTGGAGACCTCAGCCCCCCGCCCCCGCCCCGAGCAGCGGGCTCTGTGTTGGCCTCCTTCACTTTTCAGCATAATGGCTGAAGGCAGGGTCCTGCCCACACAGACCCCGAGGGTCAGCAGCTCTGACCCTGCTTCCGGGTGGAGCCCTGCCCACGGGGCGGTCTGGCCGGCGCTCAGGAGCTGAGGGGACACGGGCATGCTGTTGCACGTGGCTGGGGGCTGATCCGGTGCGCGGACCTGCAGGACGGCCCCAAGTGTTCTGGGCACGAATGAGGAATGACTCCCCAGAACAGAACACCCCTTGGCCGCCCACATGTCACGCCGTGATGGCCTTCCTCTGGGCCTCTCCAACCCTGGAGAGGGGGCACACAGCGGTGGGCAGTGCCAGGACGTGCGGGCCAGGCTGGTCCTCCCGGGAGCCCGAGTCTCCTGCCCACACCTGCAGCCTGCATCCACTCGGGCTTCCGGCGCCCAAAGTGGGGCTGGTGCAGGTCAGAAGGGAGCAGCTGGAAGGCAGGAGGGACACAGGGACGGTGCCGGAGCCCAAGGGCCTCCCAGCAGGGTCCCAGCATGCCTGGGGGTGTGCAGGGCGCGGAGCAGCAGGATCACCGCGCCCAGTGTCTTGTGAAGTGAAAGAGTCAAGAAGTGAGTGCTTCCTTGGCAAATGTGCACACGCACGCACACACACACACACACACACACACACACGCACGCACACATGTAGACTCAGTTCAGGTGGGTCATCAGGCAGACAGCGGCCGCGCAGCAGCTGGGGACGGATGAGGGGCTCAGCAGGCATTCCCGGGGCGCAGCCATAGGTCAGCGCCGGGGCTGAGGCAGCTGCAGGAGTGCCAGGCCCCCTGCAGCCCTCCCCCCTGCACCCGGAGCCTGCCGTGGGGGCGGGGGGTGGAGCACGGGGCCGTGGGCACACCTGCAGAGGACAGCGCGCTCAGCCCCAGCAGGGCGGAAGCAGACCCCAGGCACCAACCTCACGTCTTTGCTTGCGTGCGAGGACCTCTCTTTGCTTGGCCTCATTTTTCCAGATGGGTTCACTGGCGTAGTCTCATTATCAATCAAATCCGTGGCGAAGGGAGCCTTGGAGGTCACCTGGGAGAAAACGCGACATTTTCAGGAACCCAAGGGAACGCTGCCATCCACACAAGCCAAGCACCGGGGGAACTGGACTCGTGCTTCCCCCGTGAGGAGATCCCCTGACGGCTGGACACGGGCCGGGGGAGGGCACGGCGCAGGGCCCGGAGGCGCGGGGCGCAGGGACGCCGGGTGGCCCCGAAGGTGACCCCCGCCCAAAGTTGTCTGCACAGACACAGAAAACACGCTCGATGGCCCAGGTCTCTCCCGAGGACGCAACTCTATTTCCCACCGCCGAGGTCCAAGCTAACTGGCAAGCGCAGCTGGAAAGCCGGTACCATCAGCTCGCGGCTCTTAGATCAACGACGTCACAAACGCACCCCAATAAATGCTGAAAACCCAAGAGAAGTACTTCAGGGTTGGCTTTTTCTGAGGAAGCTCACCGATTCCAAGTGAGAGCCCGCCACGCCGGGAGCCGCGGGCGGACAGGAGGCACACCCGTGTCCGGCCCTCCCGCCCCCGGGTGGGGAGCCCCGCCACCGCCGTCCAGCCGGCCCTGGGCTCCGAAACACTTGCTGGACCTTCCCCAGCGGCCCTGAGTTCAGGTGGGGAGCGGGCACCGCGGAGGTGGAGGAAGAGGGGATAAAGGGCGATGTGGCCTGGAAGCTCCCGGTAAGGACTCACAGGCCATTCAACTCATTTTTGAAAACAAATTCCTTAAAACTTGGACATCGCAGCGTCACACGACGCCCGTGTGAACAGCACGATAAATGCTAGAACGCGCGTGATTTCTGAGGGCCGGTGCGGGGGGCGCTAGGATTTCTGGTCACCTGGACCTGCGCCCCCACTTCAGGGCGGCAGCCCTCACCCCCGCCTGGAGCCTTCCTTTCCCTCCTCCCTCCCGGGGCCACACCAGGAACTTTTCAAATATGTCTCTTTAGGTGCGGCCCTGCCCCGGTGGGAGATCGCAAACATTCCCCTGGCTCCCGGGGACGAAGCTGGGGAAACACTGATCTCTCCTTACCCAGGGGCCTCTAGACCTGTGTGTGCATGTACGTGCACACTGTGTACACACCTGTGTGCCTGCACCTGTGCCGGTGTGCACCTGTGTGGGTGGACCAGTACCTACCTATGTGCACCTGTGCCCCCACCTGTGGGCGTGCACCCAGTGCTATGTGCGTGCATCTATGTGTTTGTGCTTCTGTGCACGTGGCTGTGTGCCTGCCCGTGAGGAGGCACGCCCCTTGGGGTGTGAGAAAGCCGGGTAGAGGGGAGGTGCAGGGGTGCGGAGGGCAGGGTGAGCTCCTCGGGGAGGGGAGGGTGAGGCGGGCGCTGCTCCTCTCCCCCAGGGCTCCAGCCGCTGTGTCGCTGGGATTACCGCGGTGCTTACCTGCACTGGGGGCGAGGTCTCATGCGCCACCTCACCCCTAAGTGGATTACGGGGCCGGACCGGGGCTGTCTGGCCACCACCTGCCTGACCCTTAGAACATGCTTAACCGCTGGGGCGGGGAGGGGCTCTCGGAGCCGAGGGCGGGCGCTGGCCCACTTTCACAAAATGAGGACTCCCCTAGACGTCACTCCAGCAGCAAGAGACGAACAGATGTAAATCCAGTAGGTGCTTTTTACAGTCAGACGTGCAACCTAATGTGTGTTTGACACAGACGTGTATCATTTGGAAAGAAGCACCCACCACATCTTACCGTCCGTACAAAACGCAGAGGACGACGACGTGGCAGATACCAGCCTCTGCAGAGAGCGAGGACCCCTGGGGGGTTGAGGAGCTGGCGCGTCTGACGGGGGGTGGGGGGCTGGCGCGTCCCCCCTCCTTCGCGGGAGGGCTGGGGAAAGAGCCTGCAGCCGTTTCCCGGAGGACCCGGGGCACATGTTGGTCTCCGCGGGTGCCTGCGACAGTTGCCAGGATCAAAACTCGGGTCACCAAAGCTCAAAGGAATCGCAGCTTTGACTTAATGAGCTACTTCCCCAGGCTGCAGCAGCGCCGTCCCCACAGCCCGTCTGGCTGCGCGCGGCCCCGCGGGGCACCTGGCTCACCGCGTCACCCGGCAGCTCCGAGAAGGCCGAGCCTCTGTCCTGCCAGCTGCCATCGGGGTTCCCCTTCCGGGCGCTGCCCGCCTACCCCGGGCCCACTTTTCCGTCACTTTCCTTAATTTTAAAAAGTCTGTGGTCGTTCTTCACAGATAGTAACCTTCTGTCACAAACACACGTCACAAATATTTTCCTCTGTCTTTTGACTCCACGGTATTTTAGGTCATCTAGAAATTTCAGTTTTATTTTTTTATTTTTATTTTTTAAGATTTTATTTATTTATTCATGAGAGGCAGAGAGAGAGGCAGAGACACAGGCAGAGGGAGAAGCAGGCTCCGTGCAGGGAACCTGATGTGGGACTCGATCTCGGGTCTCCAGGATCACGCCCTGGGCCAAAGGCAGGCACCAAACCACTGAGCCATTCAGGATCCCCGAAATTTCAGTTTTATGAAGTTAAAATTTTCTATTTTTAGTTCCAGAGCTTCTGTATTTCCTATTTATGACTCTTTGTGTCATAAACTTGTGTTAAACAAATGCTCCTAAGTGTCCCCGCTATAAAACACAACGGTGATTACGTACAGCATCTCCACGCAGTTCACCAATCACACAGGACGGGATAACCTTCCTGCAGACTCACAGAAGTCGTGTCTCCAACCGGAATTGACCACGTACACAGAGAAGTTAGCTCCAGGGCTGCCCCACATGGTCCCAGGAGCCCAGAGGGGGTGGGGACCTGCGTGTCCCGCATGGACGGACAGACGGAGGAGCATGCCAGCTCCGGCCACACAGAGTGTCTCTCAGCTGGGAGAAGAGGTGCGGCCGCACCCCAAGGGCACGAGGCCAAGGGAGAGAAGCCAGATATGAAAGGACGCGCACTGCATGATGCCACCCACACGAGGTCCCTGCGGGGTCGCCTTCCCAGAGATAGGGGCACGGGGGTGGTGACAGAGCCTGAGTCTGGGGTGGGGGTGGGGGTGGGAGAGGCCTGGGGGTGGGGGTGGGGGGCCGCACCGCAGGGAATGTGCTGGGTGACGTGGGGCCGGGTGCTGACAGTGGGGACGAGAGCCGTCCCACAAGCTCACGGACAGGAAGGACGCCGCGCAGCAGCCAACGGCCTCCACGACTACGACAGCGCCTCAGTCCAAGCCTGAGAACGGGCGGAGCACAGCGGCCTGCCGGGAGCCTGCCACCACCACCCACGGGGCGAGGGGTCTCTGGGCCGGTGTGCGTAGTGCAGGGAGAGGCTGGGAGGGGGTCCTGGCAGCCGGCAGAGGGGAGGTGCACCCTGGACCTCGTGTGGACAGGGCGGGGGCTCTGCTGAGCGGTTTGTGTGCTGGGGTCTTGGACAGAGGAACAGGGTCCAGCCTGACTCGGGCACCCTCCCTGGCAGCCCTGAGCCCACCGAGGGCCCCTTGCTGAGTCCGTCCCAATCAGCACCCAGCGCAGGCCGCAGGGGAATCGCACAGACGGACAGCAGGCATCACCTGGCACAGACGGCCGTGAGTCCCATATGTCCAGCCCGAGGAGCCAGAGGCTGGTTGTGCAGGGGCCTGTGGGAGACACCACATTCCTGACCAGCAGGGGGTTGGGAGTGACGAGCCTGTGCAAGCCTAGGGGCAAGGGAACCCTCCAGAGCTGCTGCACCTGCTCTGAGGACTCACGGAAGAGCAGGAGCCCAGCAGGCAAGAGCAGAGGGCTGCCTGTGCAAAGGCCCTGTGGCAGAGAAGAGGCTCTAGGTGGGATGACAAGGAGGCCGGGGGGGCACTGGAGGGCAGTCGGGGTGACGGGAGCTGCAGACAGGGAGGCCGGCACCCGTGAGCCGAGCAGCGTGAGCGTGAGGACACGGTCAGAGGGCTGCTAGTGACTGGGCCCTGGAGAGCCCATGAGGCCTGGCTGCCAGGGACAGAGCCAGCCCTGGGGACACCTCACCCAGTAAGGACAGGAACAGCTTCTCACTGGGCCTGACAGCGAGGTGGTCGGGGCTCTGGGGAGAGGGCTGGGGGGGGCACGGAGCACATGTCCCTCCAGGAGCTGGACGGCACCGGGGGACAGCTCGGAGGGTGACGCTGCCCGGCCTCGACCCCGGGCTGAGATGGCTGCAGGGGAGCTGGTGCAGGGAGGCGGCCCGGGGCCCCCCGAGGAGGCAGCTGGCGGAGGCCCATCCGCAGCGGAGCTGGGAAGCTCGGGCAGGGCTGGGGCGGGACGGCGGGCACATGTAGAGTGGCAGGCCCGGGGCGGGTGGGGAGCAGCGAGGCCTGGGCGGGCGTGTGCACCCTGGAGCTGGCTGTGGACTGGCTGTCCCGTGGTCACGCTGAGTGCCCGCCCTCGAGGGACGCACAGTATCTGCCGGGAAGTAATGGGGCACGGGGGTTTGCTCTCACCGTGGAGGGGGCGTGGGCGGACGGTCTGTGGGACCGAGGCCTGGGCCTGTGGCAGGCGTCCCCATGGGCGGCAGCTCTCCAGCCGGCGGCTGACAGCGTAACTCCGGGCAGGGCCGCGCGGGCTGGCGCAGGGCCCCGGGGGGGGCTCCATCCCGGATGACCACCCCCGTTCGGACGCCAGCACAGGCCGGGCTGTGCCCTACCCCGCTGGCTGACCGGCCACCAACCAGGGCTCCTACTACCCCGCGGGGTCAGCGGCTCGCTCCAGTGGCTCGCGGAACTCAGACACACCTGCTCCCGCCCCACCCGTTAGGGGCCGTCACTCAGGGCCAGCGGCGGGAAGGCCGCGCAGGTGCGGCGGGGGCTGCACACCCTGGCGGGCACCAGCCACACGGCGAGGCTACCTGGGGCCCCACCCGGAGTCGCCCGTCCACAGAAACCGTGTGCTCCGCGGGCTGGTACGGACAAGACACACCCACCGCCCCCGGCCCGCGGGCTCCACAGCTCCGTGGGGACAGACGTGTCTGTGGTGAGGCCCGGGCGTCCTCTCACGGGCCAGCGGAGCCTCGGGCGCTGCCTCGACTGCGGGAACCTGTAACTTCTTGGCCTCGGTCGGTGTCCTGCCAACTGGATCCTGCGGCTGCAGGGGTCACCCGGGCCTGGGATCCGATCCAGCACAGCCACCCCCACCCCCTGGCATCGAAGCTGTTTCCCAGCTCTTGCTACAATGAGCAGAAGGCATCCGAAGGCCGTCCACCTGCGCGAGTCTTGCTCCCGAAGTGACGACCCGTGGGTTTTGAACGTTTATGTATGTCAGGCTGGGGCGGTGACGGAGGGGACAGGGCCAGCGCCATGAAGACGCGGAGCACAGAGCACGGGGCCTACGACACGCGCAGGCACACGTGCGGGGCAGGGGCAGGGGCAGCCTGCACCGAGCCAGGGCATGAGGTGCAGGCGGGAACGCGCCCCCAGAGTCGCCCTAAGTGCAAAGGCCCCCAAGCAGCTTGCAGACGACCGGGGTGTGTGGGTCGGAACGTGCTCGAGAAGCAACATTTCCCCCATCTCCTGACAGAGGTCTCCTCAGTGAGGAGCGCAGGTGACGGGCCGAGGGAGCAGGTCTCGCGTGTGAGGCCCCAGTCCTGGCCCCGCTTGGTGCTCCGAGGACCAGCACCCAGGCTGCCGCAGTGTGGGTGATTCCCACGACCCCCAGGCAGACAAAAACGCTCCACTGTCTTTTTTTAGGTGAGAAACCGTTGCTTTGTTTAAAGGGACAAAGGCATCGTGGACACTGTGAGGGGGCAGGAGGACTGGGCCCAGGGATCCTGATGGGGAGGCGCGGCGGGCCCATGCGCGGCAGCCCCGGGGCCTCCCGGGTGTGGGCAGCGGGCAGAGGTGCGCAGGAAGGCCCCCGCACGACCGTGTCCCCCATAAACGGAGCAGCGTTAAGGCGAAGCCGCTGTGCAAACAGGGACCCAGGTACGGACCCCACAACCCAGGTACGCCTACGGCGACGAAGCACATCCTGCCCGTGCTGTGCTGCCCCGGACGTGCGACCTCGGCCCGATGGAAAACCGCGGGACGACACAACTCATCAGCACGGGGCGGGGGGGGGGGGCACGCAGGGCTGGGATGGAGGCTGACCTAAGGGCCTGTGCACCCGGCCACCCTCCCACGGGCGACGGTCTGTGCGGGAGCAGCAGCTGGCGGGGGGGGGGGGGGGCGACGTGTATGATGCCACCGTGACCTCCTGTGGGGGCCAAGAGCACAGCCCCAGGACTGTGCCCCCACGACCTGGGAGCTGGCGGGTGGGCACATCGGGGACCAGGGCACAGCCCGCTGCCCAGGCCCCCAGGCTGAGACTGTCCGTGGCAGGGAGGCCCAGAGAGACACCATGGGGCGCCTCAGCCTCCCCACAGCTGCCCCCCGACCCGACTCCTTGCACGGGAAGGACACAGGCTGGTCAGAGGGCTGGCGGGCGGCGGCAGCCTGGCCACAGGGAGGCTGCTGGCTGACCCCCTTGGGCTTGGTGGGCTGGACGGGACCCCTCCTACCCCTGCCCTCGTACCCGACTCCGCCACGGAGGCAGGGGCTTGCTGGGTGCGTCCTCCGCCATCCTCCTGGTCCGGGCGCGCTCCCTCCACTCGCGCAGCGCTCGCTCATCTCTGGGGAGGACACGGGGGGGGGGGGTGAGAGGCACAGCAGGGGGGCCGGCTGAGCTCCAAGCCCCTCCCCCCACCCCATCCCACCCCACCCCACCCCGGCCCCGAGGGAGGTGCTGCTCTGCCCCCATCCCGAGGCTTCGCACGAGGGGACAAGCAGGACCCCCAGCCCCTGCCGGTGGGGACACCAGGACGCTGCCCCGGAGAAGACGGCCGGGCTCTGGCCCCAGCTCAGGCGTCAAGGCCCTCACAGGCGCCCGGGACGTGAGGGCACCATCGACAGGTCAGTGTCCTGCTGGATGCCCCAGTTCCACTTCTGAGACTGAGCCTCTCCCGTCCCCATCCCCTCGGTGGGGAGCACCATGCTGCTGGCACGACCTGCCCCTGCTTTGGGACCTCCCTACCCCCCTGCCCCTGTGCTGTGACCTCCCTGCCGCCCTGTGCTGACCTCCCCACACACACACCTGCACTGTGACCTCCCCGCCCCCCGTGCACGGTGACCTCCCTGCAACGTTGCCCACTGGACTCACTGCCCACAGCGCAGGAGGGCTGCAGTAGCACACACTTGCACAATTTCTGAGCTGAAGGTGAAAACCATCCCGACTGGGCTGTGGCTGCAGCTCTGGGGGTGGGATGGGGTCCCACAAGTCCTCGCCAGCCCCGGGCTTCACCCACCTCACACCCTGGAGCTTGGAGGGGCTCCTCCCAGCACCGCCCAAGGCTGCTTCCTGTGCCCTCCCCAGGGGCCCCTACCCCTCAGCTGAGCCAGGCTCTCTGTTCTCCAACCAACGCTCCAAATCTAGGGACTTTATACGACTGCACCTGTCACCGTGGCCCCGGACACAGGGGCTCCATCTGCGCATCCACTACCTCTTGGTGAAACGGGAGGGAAGGACCCACTCCGTGAGGAGCTGCCTGTGCAGAGAACCAGGTGGCACGACGGGGTCCACAGGCTGTGTGAGAGCCCAAGCCACAGGCAGGACTCGACACTGTCACCAAGGAGGCCTGCGAACATCACCTCAGGCCCACGGCGGAGAAACCGCGAGCATCCATCGGCCCTCGGTACCCAAGGGCTTCCTTCCACGCAGGTGCGCAGCACCCCGAGCTCCACCGGAGCCCGACCTTGCCGTGTACGGGAAGCACACTTCCACCTGCTACGTCCCCCAGCGGCCAGAGCTACCCGCGGGCCAGCTCCCTGTGAGCGTCCCGATGGCGGCCTGGGCCGGGGTAGGGGTGCACAGTGAGCGGGACTCACACTCATGCAGTGCAGACGCTTACTCCAGAGTCCAGAAGGGCAGAGGCTGGGGCGGCTGCTGTCACGAAATGCCACCAAGAAAGGGGTAGACGTGAGGGAGGAGGGGACCCACGGGCAGCCAGGAAAGGAAGCGGCGCGGTGGGAGGCGAGGGCGGGCGCCCCCAGCCGTCAGGGTCAAGCCAGGACATGTGCTCCTGGGGGCTCTACTGCTCGCTCAGCTTGGGGTGCGCCCGCAGGTGCGCCCGGATGTGCAGACCCGCCCTGCAAAGCCGCTTGTGCTGGGCGCACACCTGGACCCGGCGGTGAAGCAGCAGGAGGACCTCTCTGCCCTGCAGCCTGGAATCCAGCTGAGGGACTCTGGGGGCACTTGGGGGACGGCCTGAGCTCAGGCCGGGTGGCTGCCCAGCACCTGTGGCCAGTGACCCGCACAGCCCTGCTGTGACGGCCGGGACTCCAGGGGCGGCCCAGGCCACACCCCCAGGTGTCAGCCACACGCAGAGGCACCCCCGCCATCAGGATGACAGCCCGTCGTGAGCCCCGGCAGTTCTGAGGGCCTGACCTCTCCCTCCTTTCACAGAAGGGATCGGACCCCAGGAGATGGCCCGAGTAGAGCGGGGACGGTGCAGGCGTACCACTGCCACGCTGTGCTTGGAGCAGGCTGTCCCCACCTGGGCCTCACATGGGATCGTCTCAGGACCGAGGAGGGTTTATTCACAAGGGGAACAGCACACGGCCCCAGGGACAGAGCAGGAGCCCTGGGCTGGAACAGGGGCTGCAGCCGCCCCAAGTCCCGGGAGGAGGGCCCCGGGTGGACTCACAGAGGGGATTGGGGGGTGATAAAGGGCCTGCCCTCCGTCTCCCTGCCGGCAAACCCAGCCAGAAGGTGAGGGGCCCTGGGGTGCCGGGGCTGCGGTCCACGCTGGATGGCCTCCTGGGGCCCGGGGCTCGGCAGAGACAGGTGGGCAGGCAGCTGCAGGACAGGCCCCAGCCAGGCTCCTGTGGGGTCAGCAGCGCAGCCAACCAGGCGGGCCAGGAGCCCACTGCGCACACGCCGGGAGCACGTAACTTTCCTTAGAAAGGACTTGTGAGCCAGGTGATTGGGAGGGGAAGAGGCGGTGGAGAAGAACAAGGAGTCAGAGGAAAGTCAAGAAAGAAGGCACGTGGAGTGGAGCGGACCCGGAACAACGAATGACGGCCGAGGCCCGCGCCCACACGGCCTGAGAAGAGGCCGGACCAAGAGCAGCTGGTGAGCTTCCAAATGAAGCAAAACAGCCCCTTCCCCAGAAATGTCACAGCAGCAGGCCCGGCCCTCCGAGGCCCGGCAGGGGAGCGCTCACCTCCTCCGCTGCTCCGTCATGGCCTGCTTCTCCCCGCGCTCCTGGAGGGCCCCGGCCCTGCTCTCGGGGGGCCTCCTGGGGGGAAGCGCTGCTCGCTGCGATGGTGCCAGGGCAGGCAGGATGCTCCGGAGGGAGGGCATCTTCCTTCTACCATCACGGCCCCTGCGATGGACACTCCCCCTCGGATAGCACTCCCTAGAACACAAACACGCAGCTCGTACAAGCGGAGCCAACGGGGCAGATGGTGGACACCCACGGAAGCCCGAGACCTGTGCGTTCCCAGCGCCCCACACCCGGGGCTCCTGCCTGTGGAGGCTATGGGCGGCCCTGAGTCTGAAACACTGATGGGACTGCAGTGCCAGGGACAGGCTGGCCCTAACTCACCGGGGCAAGCACCCAGCCTGGATCTTGAGACACGGGGAGGGAGGAGGGGGGACGGAAGATGGGGAGGGAGAGGGCTCTGCACGGCCGGCGTGGGACAGGCCTGGCTGAGGTCACTGCTGCGCCAGGGTGGACACCTGCACTGTGTGCTTCTAGTACTTCCGTTGACCGTTATCATCATTCAACGGTACTTTACATTTTTTTTTTAAATTTCAAGAATTTTCAAGCCTCAGAACAGGTGGAAGAAACTCCTGAACACCTGTCATGCAATAAATGCAAGTTTCCCGTCTCCTTTTCAGTGCGGCCCGGCCCTGGCCTCTCAGACCGACTCTTCCAAGCTGTCCCTCCACGAAGCTGGACCCCCTCAGATACGCTGGACACGTGTCCCTGGTGTCCACAGAGCGGTGCCACGAACCAGAGCAACCACGAGGATTCACCCCAGGAGCCAATTTCCATCCCCCTGGAATGGCATGGCCCCCCTTGTGAATGTCTGACCTATATTCACCAGGAAATCTCTTCTTTGCCCTTGTACCCACACACGGGTGTGCACACCACACATGCGTGACACCATACATGCACCTAACACACACTCGGGGGCTTTCTCTTGTGTGATCCCCCCGTGGGGTCCCCGCTCTGGGTAACAATCCGAAGCCACGCTTAGCACACGCTGCACAGTAAATGCTGGCAAGGGCCCGCCTGACATCTGGAAAGACCTGACATCTGCAAAGTAACATCACAACCCCGGAAGGATCAAGAAAATACACCACGGCTTCTAAATTCTACCTGGAAACATGTCTTGTGTTGGAATGTTCTTTCTCCTTTGCGTTTAGTGCTGCCTTGAGATGTGGAGGTAATTCCACTGGTAAGAGCTGGTTTTCAAGCACTACTGCTTGATCGTTCTCAACGATCTCCTGCCTCAACTTCCAAAAGCGCTTGATCTCTTCCTCACTCGGCCAGTCTTCTGGGGAATCGGCGGAATTTCTGAGCTCACTCAGGTCTAGCTTTTCAATGGGTGGGAAAAAGTCTGCCTTTTCTTTTAACATCCCCTCCTGATCCTGAGAATTAATGATGTCTTTGTCAGGCACACCTTCTTGGGATAAATCCGACAAGGGCTGTGGCAGCAGACTTAGGTTCATCGTTGGAACTGGTGAAATCACTGGTAGGATAAAACGGCATTTTAGTTGACCGTCCTCCAACACCGGCTCCCCAGAATCAAACACACCCAGTGACCAGAACCCCTGGCGGGGGCGGGGGGCAGTCTCCCTCTGCAGAGAGGGCCTGGGAGGGGAGGAGACTGTCTCCCTCTGCAGAATGGGCCTGGGGAGGGAGGGGACAGTCTTCCTCTGCAGAGAGGGCCTGGGGGGGAGGGGACAGTCTCCCTCTGCAGAGAGGGCCTGGGGGGGGAAGGACAGTCTCCCTCTGCAGAGAGGGCCTGGGGGGGGAAGGACAGTCTCCCTCTGCAGAGAGGGCCTGGGGGGGGGGAAGGACAGTCTCCCTCTGCAGAGAGGGCCTGGGGAGGGAAGGACAGTCTCCCTCTGCAGAGAGGGCCTGGGGGGGGGGAAGGACAGTCTCCCTCTGCAGAGAGGGCCTGGGGGGGGAAGGACAGTCTCCCTCTGCAGAGAGGGCCTGGGGGGGGAAGGACAGTCTCCCTCTGCAGAGAGGGCCTGGGGGGGACAGTCTCCCTCTGAAGAGAGGGCCTGGGGGGGACAGTCTCCCTCTGCCCTGCGGCCCTCACACTCCATATAAATCTATGCAAATAAAAATACTTTTCTGTTTCCTCCTTATCCTAGATCTTTTAATATCTTTATTTCTGATCAATTTTTAGCCCATATCCCTACTGTTTTTGTTTGGCAATACTTTCGTGGACTTTAAACATTTGTATATCTGGGTAAATCACCTGAAAGAAAATGGGCCAGGAACGTTCTTGCCTTTAGGACTAGGCTCAAATGTCCCCTCGGCGGACTGGCCCTGCACGAGCCACCCCACCTCCTGCAGCACCCCCAGGGCACAATTAGGTCACAGGTCATGCCCACATAGACTCCTTTTTGGCTGTTGGTTCAAACTTGAAATAGAGACACTCTGCACGTTGGCATCCTCTGAGTGATGGCACTGGATTTTGATCCGCACTTAAGAGATAAAGCTAGTATATTCTTTGGGAAACAAGGAAATTCACGATTTGCAGTAACAGGTTGGCAGCAGACAAAACAGACGTCGGAGCTGACTGCCGGCGCTGCCACACGCCCTTGGCCTTCACCTTCACCGTTCCAGCGCGAGCTGGCCTCTTCTACGGGCAGCAGCGTGTCTGTGCCTGGGCGTTTCCTCTGGCACGTGAAGGCCAGCCTGCCGGGCTGGAGAACCGCGTGTCCAGCCCCAGGGGAAGCCGTCCATTCCAAGCATGGCTGCTGCTGGAGCACGCATGCCCACTCCCTCGCTGCGCTGCAGTGTGACCGCGGGGCCTGTGTTCAGGTAGCCCTTCACAAATGTCAACGTGCACATGGACCCCCGGGGACCTTGTGACACCCAGGTCCTGGCCTGGTCCATGTGGTAATTAACACCTGAGAGGCTCAGTGTGACCACTGAGGCCTGGTGGGGCTTCACCTGCTTCACGCAGCACCCAGCAGGCCCACGCTGGCGTCCAGGGCACCCCTGCCTGATTCCTCACCCCTGATGGCTCCCTCCTCCTCCCTATCTCCCTCCACTCAGTCTCCACACTGCCCCCTGGGGTCACCTCCCCAATCAACCACTGGCCCTTGACTCCTGACTTAGGAGCTGCTTCTGCAAAACACAAACTAAGACACTTTGCAATTACAACCAACGTTTAAAATCATGCATTCCGGGGCTGTTTGTTTGGATTTAGGATAGAGATGATTTAGGCACAGCAGCACCTCCTAACCACTTTGGATGTCCCTTACATTTACTCAGATGGACTTAATTATTTACACACTTTGATAATATCATATAGATAACTATCGTGGCTGTTTCAAATATATGCATTTCCTCAATTCTAGAAATTATGTTTTAAGCAGTAAAAATTTAGATACGTTGAAGTAAATTTCCAGACTATTTAATTTTTGTGAGCCATTACAATTCTCTTTTATCTCTACTTTGTCGAAGTGTAGCTACGGTGCTCATTCACGATTAGATTCTATCATGAGCATGTGAGAACACCTGGCTGGCTGGTCCATACGTTGAAAACTTGGGATCAAATGTTTAGTGAGCACCCACCAAAAAAGTGCCAAAGCCACTGCTCCTTCCCCAGGAGTAAGGGCCTTCTGCTGTGCTTGCTGTGCCTGAAGGTGGCTTGGTGGTGAGGACAGTTTTATCTGATTTATCCCACAGAGTTTTTACCAAAATCCACCCTAGACAGGCTCTATAATGGGCCCTGAGAATGCAAACCCAAGAACACAGAAACAAGAAAGACAGCTCTGACACGTGGGCACAGACCCAGAACACGGTGTGAGTCCAGCACAGGACACGCGAGGCCCCTGTGCATTCCTGTGACATCAGTAAGAAGACAGCCTCCCCAGGTCCTGGTTTTAAAAGCACTAACTTCAGTTCTAATGCAGAGTGCTGTAGTAATTGTCCCACAAACCTGGAGAAGTTAAATCCTGGGGCGCAGAGTGTTGGGCGGCATAGATCTGCAGGAAGGCCAGGATAGCGCCCAGTCCCTTCTGCACAACGAGTGGAGCAGGGAACTCCAGAGGGCAGTGTCTCAGGTTCAGGGCTTTCAGTGTGGTCACGTTCCCTGTGAAGGAGAGGAAGAACCCAGAACTTCACACACTCTTCCGTGGAATGAAACAGGGAGAGAATACTATTTTTGCACATTATAGAAAAAAAAAGACCCTACTGAAAATTTTGTCTGAATAACAGAACAGATGTCTGCGATTTGCTTGGAAAAAAAAAAAAAAGTCTTTAGGGAAGGCAGATCCCACAGATTAAGACCAGGCTAGTTACAAAAGTAAATAAATAAAAATAAAATGAATAGAAGCAGCACTAACCGCCCTCTGGCAAAAATCAGAATACAAACCTGCTATATTATCTAAAATGCCTATTTGCAATGACAAAAATCCTAAAAGGAACCTGTGACCCATACTCAGGAAACAAGCAGTCACCAGAAACTGTCCTCAAGTCGGCTCAGACGTCGCAGTAAGCAACAAAAACTTCAACAATCACACATATATTCAAATGAATGAAGAAAACCATGTTTAAATAATTAAGGAAAAACATAGTAAAATGACTCAAAAGCATAGAATGTCAACAAAAACAGAAATTATAAGAAAGAACCAAATAGCAGTTCTAGAGTTGAAATTAGAGACCGGGCAGCACCCGGGGGGCCCCATCCGTAAAGCGTCCGCCTTGAGCTCAAGTCACGATCCCGGGGTCCTGGGATGGAGTCCCATGTCGGGCTCCCTGGCAGCGGGCGTCTGCTTCTCCCTCTGCCTCTGCCGCTCACTCTGCTCGTGCCCACTTTCTCTGTCTCTCTCTCTCTCTCTCTCTCTCTCCCTCTTGCTGTCTCTCAAATAAATAAATGGAATTAAAAAAAAAAAAAAGAAAAGAAAAGGAAATAAATTACAAAGACCAGGATGAGAATTCCACCAAAGGGGACCCAAGAGCAGATACAAGATGACAGAAGAGACAAGTGAACTGGAAATAAAAAGTATCTGATCCAATGAAGAGAGAGAAGAACGATGAAATCAGGACCGCGTCAGAGGCCTATGGAACAGCAGCCCATATGCTGACCCATGGAAACGCGGTGAGAGCCCCAGAGGACGAGAAGGGTGAGCAGAGCGCTCCGTGAGGACACCACGCAAATGCGCCCCAGCATGTGACACACAGCAGTGGGCAATCCAGGACGTTCAACAACCAAGTAAGATAAGCCAAAGGCAATCACGCTCAGAAACATCAAAACCACTGAAAGACAAAAAAACATAAATGATCTTAAAAATAGAGCAAGAGAAACAAGGGGACAAGGAGAGTGACTTTGGTCAAAGGACAGGGAACAGCATATTCAAATTCAGATTCAGGTGCCCTGAATCTACCAAAATTGTCCTGCAGAAATACAGACGGAACGAAGACATTCCCAGCTGATGCAGGTGGAGGGGCGCACCGCAGCTGGCCTGCAGCAAGTCACAAGCTGAATGAGTCATTTAACGCCCCCTGCCCCCCCCAACCCGCTGCACCCACCATCGCAGGGCCCGCGGACAACCACTCAACTGAATGAGGAATGAGTTGAACAGCAGGAGACGGAACCTGCAAACTCAAAGACAAGTTAACAGAAAATAATACAGACTGGGACAAACTGGGACAAGGAGAAAAGGGGACAGGAAGAGAAGCGCGTACTCGAGGCACATGGGGCAGAAGCAAAACCCCAACGTCCATGCACCTGGAGGAGGAGAGCAGAGAGAGAAAGAAGCCAGGTCTGCGGAAATAACGTCGATAGCCAGGGATTCGCCAAATCTGATTAACGTTATCAGTAAACAGATTCCAGAAGCTCGGTCAATACAAAGAATAAAGTCAATACAAAGAAAGCCACACCCAGGTGCATCGCAGACAAACTGCTAAACATCAAACATGAAGAGAGGAATTTTAAGCAGCCAGACCAAAGAGATGCATCACTTAAAAATAAAAAAACCATTAAGACTGACAGCTGACTTTTCAACAGACGCTAGAAGCCAGAAGACAATACAGACATTTTTTTTTCAATAAAGACATTTTTAAAGTAGTGAAAACATCTCTGAAATCTGGGATCCTGTTACTCAGCCACATATTCTTCAAAAATGATGGAAAAGTAAAGACGCCTTTTCAGAAAATCAAACTTGAAAAATTCATCACCAAACGACTAAATGATAATACTAAAGAGAGATATTCAGACCAAGACCGTCAGTCATCGCAGATGGAAGCGAGGAACTTTGAGAAATGAAGGATAAACATGTAATAAAATATAAATAAATACCGACAGTTTAGTGTCTGCTGGATTTGCAGCAAGATGTAAAAGCAAAATCTATGGAAACCACCGCACGAGAGGCAGGGGGGTGCTGGCCATGCAGGGAAGCGTCCGGGGGGGCTGCTACCTGCGGCAGGCACGGGGGGGGGACAGTGTGGCCCCCAGGGTGCAGCAGCTCCACTCCCGTCCAGGCGCCGGCAGATAACCAGCTTGCGGAAAATGGGCCCAGAATGAACCACCCGCGGGCAGACAGAAACGGGAGGCAGGCAGAAGCTAGAGGGCGGATGACACGCCGTGCGGTATCCCTATGGCTTTCGGCCTGCGGGAAGGCCCCAGAGAGCGCCACGCCGGCCCCACGCGGCCGTCACGACGTGCAGCGCAGGGGACACACTGCAGGGCCACCACACAGCAGCTCAGCAGTGAAGCCGTGGGCTCCTGGGAGAAGGGGGCCGCAGAGGGAGCCCTCCAGCTCGGGGCAACATTCTGCACACACACCCACGGCACGCCCTGACCTTCCCACGCACAGGACAGGCGGCGAACAGCATGGCCACAGCTGGAGCCCACTGCTGGAAACAGAGTCTGGAGTCCTAGTCCTCTCAACTGAACTACCTATTTATTTAAAAAAACCAATACTCTAAAGAAGAATATAACAGAATCTAGAATCTCTACAATGTATCACAAGGTCTAAGATATAATCCAAAAAACTACTTAAAAGATATGTTTATATCAAATGAAAAAAAAATGAGAACACAGTAGAAAAGTAAAAACTGTTAAAATATGAAAATTCTAAGACTGGAAACACAGTAGCTGAAAAAAATTACTAGGCAATTTTCACAGCCAATTGGAGATGACAGGAAAGACTCATAAGCTTGAAGATGTCGATCTATCTTCCCTGAAGACCAGAAAAATGACTTTTTAAAATATACTTTTTAAAATGTAGGGCAGCCCCGGTGGCGCAGCAGTTTGGCGCCGCCTACAGCCTGGGGTGTGATCCTGGGGGCCCGGGATCGGGTCCCACGTCGGGCTCCCTGCATGGAGCCTGCTTCTCCCTCTGCCTGTGTCTCTGCCCCTCTCTCTCTCTCTGTGTCTATGAATAAATAAATAAAATCTTTAAAAAATAAATAAAATAAAATAAAATGTAAAAGAAGGCCAGTGATCTGTAGAACAATAACGAAAGTTCTAACACACAGGTAAAAAGAGAGAACAGGTGCAGAAAAATATCTGAAGTCTTAATGACTAAAATATTTCCCAAATTGGCAACAGACGTGGAATTTAAAAGTTGAATAAATTCAACAAACTAAAAAACAAAACAAAACAAAAACTAAAAAAAAATTCAACAAACTACAAGGAGGGTAAGTACAAAGAAAACCACAGCTGGGTACCTCATAGTCAAACTGCTGAAAAGCAAAGATACAGAGAAATCTTGAAAGTAACGAAACCAATCAACACAGTTCATAAAGGAGAACAAAGAATGAATGACCTCTGAGGCCTGGGGAGAGTGGAACTTCTTTAAAGTCCTGGATGAAAAAAATCCAACCTGTATTTCTAGATCAGCAATATCCTTTAAGAATTTTTTGTTAAAGATTTTATTTATTTATTCATGAGAGACAGAGAGAGAGGCAGAGACACAGGCAGAGGGAGAAGCAGGCTCCACGCAGGGAGCCTGACGTGGGACTCGATCCCGGGTCTCCAGGATCACGCCCTGAGCCGAAGGCGGCGCTAAACCGCTGAGCCACCGGGGCTGCCCTCCTTTAAGAATTAAGGCAAACAGAGGCACCTGCGTGGCTCAGTAGGTTGAGCAGCTGACTCTGGGTTTCGGCTCCGGTCATCAACTCAGGGTCCTGGGATGGAGCCTTGTGTCCGGCTCCAAGCTCAGCGGGGAGTCTGTCTGTCTCAGACAGACAGACAAATACATAAATCTTTTTTTTTTAAAAAGGGATTAAGGCAAAATAAAGACATTTCCAGAAACATAAAAATTAAAATAATTCTTTGCCCCTAGAATAATTTTAAGAATTTTGAAGAGAAGTTCTTCAGGCTGAAGGAAAACAGTATCAAATGGAAAGCTGGACCTTCAGGAAAGAGGGAGGAGACCCCAGGAATGCTACATATTAAGCAAACATAAAAGACTTTTTACCTTTCAATATCATTCAAAGTAAGTGACTCCTAGAAGCAAAGACTGTAAGTCTGTATTGTGGGTTTATAACCTACGCAGACATCGTACGTAGGCCAAGTAGAGCGTAAGGTGGGCTGGAGAGTGGTCCCGCACGCCTAGTGGGCAGTCCCATCTCCTGTGATATTGGTACAGTGCTACTCTAGGGTGCACATTTTAACCCTGAGAGCGACCGTTAAGCCACTAAAGGAATGTAAGAAGAATAGCTAAAAAGTCAATATAAAAATTAAAATATGAGTCTCAGGAATATCCAATTGACATAAAGTTACTGGAAAGCAGGAACAGAGGAAAAAAACGAAACGAACAGAAAACAAGCCGTCAAATGACAGCCCTATAGAATTTAGGAAACAGAGCCGGTGAACACGGTGAGGGAGACAAACCAGAAGAGACTCTTAGCTACGGGGGACACACTGAGGGCTGATGGAGGGGCGGGGGCAGGGGACGGTTAAGTAGGTGATGGGTATTACAGTGGGCCCTAGTTGTGATGAGCACTGGGTGTTGTGGATAAGTCACGAGTCACCAAATTCTACTCCTGAAAATAATTTTACCATATATGTTAACCAACTAGAATTTAAATAAAAACTTAAAAAATTGTATTACATTTAATAGTCTAAATACTTCCATTAAAAGGCAGAGGTTGGGGGATCCCTGGGTGGCTCAGTGGTTGGCGCCTGCCTTCGCACCAGGGTGTGATCCTGGAGTCCCGGGATCCCATGATCCTGGAGTGATCCCTGTGATCCTGGAGTCCCCGAGTCCCATGTTGGGCTCCCTGCATGGAGCCTGCTTCTCCTCTTTCTCCTCTGCCTGTGTCTCTGCCCCCCCCACCCCGAATAAATAAAATAAAATATTTATTTTTTTAATAAGATCTTAAAAAAAAAAAAAGGCAGAGGTTGTCTCGCTCAGTCAGTTAAGCACCTGATTCTTGATTTTAGCTCAGGTCATGATCCCAGGATCCTGGGATTGAGCCCCGCCTCAGGGTCCCTACTTGGTAGGATGTCTGCTGGTCTCCCTCCCTCTCGCTCTGTCCACCACCCCTGCCCCGCGTGCAGACAGACAGACACACACACACACAGGCACACACACTCTCTCTCTCCCTTAAATAAATTTTAAAAATAAATAAATAAAAAAGGCAGGGGTTACCTGACTGGATAAAAGAGTGAACCTAACTGTATCCTTCCTAGTAGCAATGACAGGTTGGAAATAAAAGAATGGGAAAACATAGGTCATGCGAAGAGTGAGCAGAAGGAGGTTGGAGAGGCCGCGCTGGTACGCACCGAACGGCCAGAAAGCGTATGACACAGCTCCACGTCGCTGGCCGTCGGAGCCTGCACACGAGAACCGCAGTGGGGCACCACTACGTACGCCAGAGTAACAAAAACAACACGAAAACATTTTAAAAATCCCTAATTTGTATTCAACCAATAACATAGTATCCAACTACGGAAAGCAAAAGCTGACAGATGTAAAACGAAAGGCAGACAAAGGCACAATCACAGTTGGAGATTGTCACATACGCCTCCAGGCGCTGACGACATACACGGACACCAACGCGAGGACGGAGGTCGTCTGAACGCCGTGACTAAGCCACCCGACCGGACTCAGTACCTACAACAGCACACCAAGCAGCAACGTGAGAACACACGTTTCCCCAGTGCACAGGGGGGTGTTTACACCAGAGAGAACACATCCTGGGCCAGAGCACACCTGGGCAGGTTTCAGACAAGTGACACAGCGTTCGTGGCATTCAAGTAGAACTCCATAAAAGGGAGAGCATTAGAAGTCTCCCACTGTCCGTAAGTCAAGCAAAACACAAAGAGCCCACGGGTCACAGTGAACATCCGAAAATATTCTGAGCTCACTGATGACAAGGATGCTGCATGCTGAGGCTTGCGGGAGCAGCCAAGGCAGCGCCTGGGGGAAGACACAGTCGTGACTGCACAGACTAGAAAGGAAAGGTCTAAAACCAGTGACTTGAGCCTCCAACTCCATTGGTTGGAAAAAGAGCAGCAAATCAAACCTAAAGAATCACAGATAGTAAAGAGCAGATCCGATGCACAACCGAGAAGGTCGTCTCCTGCTTCCGCACAGCAGGGAAGACCAAGGAAAATGAGGACGCTGCACCTGTCCGTCCCCGTGGACGGCCCCCGGGAGCACGGTGGTGAGCCACAGCTGCGAGTCACCAGCAACACACGCTGCTACGACTCAGGCCAAGGTCGAAAGCAGGGCCCTGCCCACACACACTGCAGGGAGAGGGCGGCGGCGAGGCCGTCGCCGGGCGCGGGAGGCCGCACCGGTCCTGGGGCCCTGGCCACTGAGCGCGGCGACAGAGCCCTTCGCTTTGATTATTTCTCCACCTCCGTCCGTCCGTCCGTCCGTCCTACTTTCTGCGTGGAATACAAACTACGGCACTAACAGCGCTCGCGAGCTGCGACCTGAGAGCCCGGGAAGGACGAAGGAGAAGGGATTCTAGATACGAGCCAGCTCGCCCCCTACGACTTGCCTTAGGTTTCCGCTACAGGTTCTGGGCACGGAAAAAGGCAGCATTTTAAAGCCAGCTTTTTATTTTATTTTTTTTAATTTTTAATAAAGAGTTTATTTATTCATGAGAGACAGAGAGAGAGAGAGAGAGAGAGGCAGAGACACAGGCAGAGGGAGAAGCAGGCTCCATGCAGGGAGCCCGATGCGGGACTCGATCCTGGGATCACACCATGGGCGAAAGGCAGAGGCTCAGCCGCTGAGCCACCCAGGCCTCCCTAAAACCAGCTTTTGATAACACTTACCCAGCTCCACAGGTAACATCTTGATAGGATTTCTTTCTAAAAGCAAAGTTTTCAAATGCCTTAAAAACAAAATAAAAATTATATCATTTAAAAAGCAAAAAAGGAAATGACCATCCCAAAATGACACCATCAAATGTCTTCCTTTGCCTCTTCTTTCAGGAGAGGACTTGAGTGCAGGTGCACATGTTCGCTGCACACGGACGGCACGTGGCCCCCTTCCCCCCCCTCCAAGTCTCAGCAGAGGGCCAGGCCTCAGTGCACTGACCTCCGAGGCTGGGCGATTCCCTGCTGGGGGGGCGGCCTCGCACCTGTGGGGTGCTCAGCAGCACCCTGGTCTCCACCCGCCAGGGCCAGTAGCGCCCCCTCCCAGGTTGGGACAAGCACGAGATCTCAGGGTGTTGCTGAATCTCTGCTGCGGACCACGCGGCCCCACGACGGGGACAGGTGCTCGGACCGCCAATGTCCCGCGACGTCCTCACCCGCATCAGGCTTCCCGAGTGTGCCCTGAGGGCTCCCACACTGAGACGCTCTGTGAACACGTCTCCCCGGGTCCAGATGCTCGGGAGCCTTCTGCTGCACGGCACGCCCACCCCGCTGGGCGGATAACGCGCTGCGAAGGGCTCTGCGCGGCCTCAAGGAAACGTGGTACAAGGGGCGTTTCTCTAAGCCTTTGACTCCAGAGCCCTTCCCTCCGAACACCCAGGAACATCTCCCATAAAACCTCGCACAAAACAGACAGGTGGAGAGATGGGATGCAGGGCGCCCGCTAAAAACTTACTAATTGGATGATATGGAAAAATGAACATCTCATGTTAAATTCTATCTTGCCCCTTTTACTTTTTACGCTTCTTTCATTTTTCACATTTAATTCTTAAGACTGTATCATACACTAAGAATACATTTCTTTTTCTCCTTTACTTTCTAGTGAGCACCAGCTGAAATCTGGTATAAGGAGACCCGGGGGCTCACGATTCCAGCCTAGGGTGGGCGTCCAGGCGCAGAGCGGGACCTTCCACCCCTGCCCCCTGTACCTGCATCACCCTGGGCCGCCCCAAGACTTTGGGAGAATTGTTGAATCCGCTGTCCTACTCCACCCCCAGGGACGGTCTCCAGCCAGCACACCCACACCGCAGCCCAGGGCCCGCGGGGGTGGCTGCCTGCCCGGCGGGGAAGGCCTCACAAACCCCTGGAGCAAAGCGCCCCACTGCCGTCGCCTCTCTCGCTGCCCGGAGCAGCCCCAGGAAGCCACCGGAGGGACTGAGGGGCCGCACGGAGTCCAAGCTGCGTCCCCCGGCTTTAGTTCTCCCGAAGGAAGAGACAGGAGCAGCCGAGCACACCTACAAATCCCACAAAGGAATCAACGCTGTGGGGAGAGGGAGACCGTCTCAAGCCTCATTTCACCTTGGACGGTGAGAAAATTAAAGTCCAACATCACAACTGACTGGGGTCCCCAAGATTTGAAAGGAAGAAGACGATTTCACAGGCATGGGATCGAGAGTTCCATTATTCCAGTTAAATTAAGTTTGGTTTTTGGATTGGCCACTTCAAAGGAAAACCGATTACTTGAAGATTAGACAATTTTCTTTCTGTTTACTCTCTTGGGTTTTCCCTATCATTTGAAGTTTTAAAAGAACGGACTTTGTGAACTAAACTGTTCTTGACGTACACGAAGGTGAATCATTTCAACTACTGGTTTTTGGTTTAGCCCCTTTTCGTTGGGTGATACAACAGGCCAGGGTGGGCCGGCGGCCGCTCTCTGGAAGATGCACACACTCTGCGCCCGGGCGGCAGGTGGGCAGGTGCCCTGGACTCCCCAACGGCAGGTCGGGCCAGTCAGCGTGACCCCTGCTGGCCTGGGGGGCGGAGGTGGGGGGCGGAGCCCACGGGAAGCAACCACGCACCAGAAAGTGGACCCGAGCAATGGTATGTTTGAATACTCTTGTGCACACTGAATAACAAGTTTATGAATGTTGACCCCTTAGCACCCTCAGCCGCCCCCCAGTTACGTCACAACTTCCCACTGAACGTACAGATCCAGCCGCTGCGTTGGGGCTGCTGCCCGAGGAGGCAGGCGCGGACACATTTTCTCGGTCCCTGCTAGCAGGCTCACACATCGGAGACAGCGAGAGGGGGAGACCATTAATACTGCATTGCTTTAATTAGGCTTTTTGGAAAGTTTAAAGCTTTTAATAAGCCCATAATTACTTAACATTTCTGATTAATATGTTTCAGCTCTTCGGCAAGTTGATCTAATTTTAATGATATAATGAGCTATAAATCACGTGCAAAATTATATCTTAAACAGTATTAAGCAGCTGGCTTTGACTGGCAAAATCAAAGGATTCCAAAACTGGAGGACTGTGGACTTCCTTTATAGGAAAGAGCAGAGTTCGGGGAACGGGCTCTATTTATTTACCCTTTGAGTAGCAACCCCCCTCTCGGCTGTGCGAGCGCCACAATTTATAGACAGAAAGCACTAAATTATCCTCAACACAAAGGATGGGGGCCTTGGGGAGAACAAAGCCTTCCCAGCCGGGCCTCAACCACAAGCTCAGAACACTCACGAGGCCGTCAAGCTGCAGGGGACACGGTGGACGCAGGCCCAGGGAAGGCTCGGCCACCTGTCACGCAGCCCTGGTTGGTGCCAAGGACACGGTTCTGTGCGTCCGGTGGCACAACTCACAGCAGGCGATCTGCTCTGCAGGCGCCGACGACCCCAGGAGCTCCGGGAAGGCAGCTCCTGGCTCTGACGCCCCCCTGCTGGACACCCCAGCTCATCATCAGAAATTAGCCGCTGCCTTGCGCAGCCTGAGAGGCACAAATGAGTCACAGAGATCTTCTCTTACTGCTACACGTGACAAAATACTCACTTCTTAAAAATTGCTTTGAAAAACAGTGAGCTGCAGTTGAGACAAGTGAAGGGCCTTACGCAGACCCCCACTCTGCTCTTCACAGCGGCCGCCGTGGCTCTCCGCGGACACCATTACTCAGGTGAGAACCGGGGGTCGCCCTTGGACACCTGTCTGCTTCCCACGCCCTGGATCCGGCCTGAACCCGCTGGCTCTCAGGCCCACCTGCAGCTCTGCTCTGTCAGCCTTGCTCAGGCCGCAGCCTCTCGCAGGGTCGTCGCCCTGGCCTCCTGCCACCGCCCTCGCCCCTCCTCACAGTGACCTCGAAGCCAAGTTGAATTCCACCCCTCTCCATTCAAACCCTCCGTGACTCCCAAGTTCTTTCAAAACGAAAGCCAACATTGCCTGCCCACCTCTCCCTCCTGCGTCCTGGCACGCTGGCCTCCTTGCGGTCCCACATCCGCCAGGCGCACACACACCCGGGGCCTATGTGTATGCTCTCCTCCGCCCAGGAGGCACCGACATTAAAGGCGATCCTACAGTGTCTATGAGGTTTTCACAGGGAGGGTGTGGGAGCTGGAGGCGCTGAGGTCAGGACAGGAGGCCGAGCTCACAGGGAGTGTGCGCAGGTCCCCAGGGAGCGAGGAGGCCGGCTGACGGTGGGCTGCTGACCGGGGCCACGTGAGGAGGAGGGAGAGAGGCAAGGCATTTGTTCCAGAAGCGGGGGTGCTAGGAAATCCCTGGATCAGAGCAGCAGGAACGCGGCAGGATAGCACGCATTGCTTACTCCGGGGTTTCCCGACCCTTCTGGCAGCTTTGCAGGGTAACAGTCAGAGCTGGAACTAGATGTGCATAAACCTCATGGTTGGCCCAGCAAAGGCACGGCGGCTACCAGCATCCTTTGCGCTATTAAATATCCTACGTTATGACTACAGTTACGTGCATTTGGTACATTCATTCACTGCATCGATCAGCTGGCTCTAAAAATAGCGTCAAACACCTCTAAGCTGACACCGAAACTCAATCAGGGCTTGGAGCTAAGCAGCAAAGGAACAGGCACTCGGACATCTTAAAACAGGATGACTTCTTAAAATCTGAGAATATAAACACGCAACTTACTTGTGAGACCCAATCCCCGAAGGAAGGGCTTTAATCCTATTATGGCGGAGGTCCAGCCAGGTGAGCTTTGGCAGTAGCTGGAAGAAATCTTTAGGAATCTCGCAGAGGGCATTTCTTTGAAGATGCAATTGCTTCCAGGGAAAAGGAAAGAGAACGTCTCGTCAACTAACTACATTTTAAAACACGATGCGTCCTAAAGCGCTTCCAGAACCACAGGCTTTTGCCCTCATGCATAGCAAGTGAGAAGAGAACCCGCGACATCTTGGCCTTAGATAGCTGAAGCCACAGGCGAGGGGCAGAAAGGAAAGCTCCGGGGCTGGAGAGTGACCCCCGGCTGACGGCTCAGCCACCAGCACACACACACCGGCTTTCTCTACAAACACGCTTTAACACCAAACCGACTCCCCACGTGTGGAATCCCTGTCCCCCTTCCCGGGCCCCGCTGTTCCCGCCCCTTCCCTAGTGCCCGCCCAGCAGTCCAAAGTAACTGGTCAGGGGACAGGCGGCAGGAGCCAAGTCTGGTCCCAGGACTCATCCCAAGCAAAGAGGGAAACTGAGACACACGCACTACGCTTCGGCCTCGGCCCCACCCCTGCTGCTCCACGCGCCAAGACGCAGGGGGAGGGGAGGGCCACCCTAGCGGCGTAAAAGGTGCGTGTAAGTCCACAGTCACGGTGCGGCACCATCGTGGGTCATTTCTTTCAAGTAGGCCCCATGCCCAGGCGGAGTCCAAGCTGCGGCCTAAGTCCACAGCTGAGATCACGAGGCGGACGCTCACACGACTAAGTCACACGGGTGCCCCAGTGATGGGTAATTTTTAAAATCTCTCTTAATGCTGCTGTTACATGTTGTATTTGCTTGACTTGTAGGTCGCGTGAGCACGGATCCAACACCACCACTACTGAGGCAGCACAGATGTTAATTAAGAGCACTGGCTGGGGAGCCCGACTTTCTGGGTTCAAACCTACTAGATTTGGGAACCTCATTGGCTGTGTGACTTTGAGCAGGTGCCCAAACCTCTGTGCGCGCCAATGTTCCCACCTGTCACCTGGGCCACGGGACCCACCTGCCCGGTGCACTAAGTGAGCAGCGCCAGGTAGCAGCAGCCGGCCGACTGGGGACCCGGCCGCCCCCACTCCCAGCTCTGCCTCCGATGCCAGCCTCTGAGTCCCTTCACGGGTTGCGGCGGGGGCTTTACAAGCGCATGGAAAATGAAGTGGCCGGTCACCCTGCGGGCAGGGGGCAGTCTCGGGGACACGGTCTGGTGGTTACACAGGCACAGCACTTGCGCACCTCGGGGTGAGCCCGCTCTGGCTCCAGGCTTCCCGGGCCTGCTCCCCCTCGGGCCAAGCTGTTGTAGCGCTCAGCTCTGAAACCCCAGATCCTCCTCGACGCCAGAAGACGGAATCTAGAAAGGCAGGGGACACGGCACTGCTCTCTGCAAGGGCTCTTCCAGGACACAGCGAGGCGGCCCCTCCTCTTGGGTCTGGCGGGACAACAGCGTTCCTGTGCCCCACGACGGCACGATTCTGGAATTGCGGCTGGGGGCTCCGGAGACTGGTGCCCCGCCTGCACGCGCCGTCACCCCTGGAAGGCAAAGCGCTGAGCGGCCACCTCGCGCCGGGACTGGCCGTCTTGGTAAGAACACTGGCAGTCACTCTGTTTTCTGAGAGGCGCGAACAGGTACGCTGCTTCTTTATTAAGCCTGAAGAACACTTGGAATTTCCTCCTCCTTCCTTGATGCCCAGAGGCCCCAGAAATCCCATGACACGTTGGAGTTCTGGATCACAGTTGGGAGCGTTTGCCCTGGGCCGGGGCAGCCCTGACGACCCAGGGGTTCGCTCGGAGACGTCGGCGCTCAGGGAAGGAGCAGGAGCAGCGCCGCCCTGACCCCAAACATGTGACCAGCGCAGCGGGCTCTAGCGAGTGCAGCGCCGCTTAACATCTGTGGCTGCAGCTTTGTGCCAGCGCCCAGAATGTCCGCCAGCACCGTAGCGGCGCAGTGTGGCCCGGTGTACGGGGCTGTGCACAGCGGACACTGCGTCACGCGGGTTAATTCTTGGAACAGCCCAGAAAAATAGTCTCGTTCTCACGTTCCAGGTGAAGACAATGAGGTTCAAGGGAATTAGTGAGTCCTAGGCAGCAGGAGCCCTGCTGGTGAGCACTCTGCCCCGCACACGTCAGCATGGGGCAGACCTCATTCTAGAAATCCCAGGGGATGGGGACCCGCGGGTGGCTGTGCAGTTTAGCACCACCTTCAGCCCAGAGCGTGACCCCGGGGTCCCGGGATCGAGTCCCACACCCGGCTCCCTGCAGGGAGCCTGCTTCTCCCTCTGCCTGGGTCTCTGCCTCTCTTTCTCTCTCATGAATAAATAAAATCTTAAAAAAAAAAAAAAAAGAAATCCCGGGGGATGAGATGGTACTTGCAGGATGGCAAGGGTGCGGCAAGGCACTGGGCACACGGGAAAGGCAGCGTGTGACATGAGCAAGGCAGGGAGGGGTGAGACACAGTTTTTACCTGTTTCAATGCTGTGTGGGGGCTTTTAGAGGGGATGTTTTAAATAGGAGATGACGGTGCTTTCGGCAGTGGTTTCTACCACGGGCTTTTTGGTGCTCAAGACTTTCCCAAGAATAGAGGAGAGACATCGTGGTCTGACTCCATAAGTATTTCCACTGGCTGGGCCCCATAGCGGGATTTCTCATTTTGTGGTGAGCGGCACTGGAGACCCCGACTCAACCCTCTTCTATCTCATTCTAGAACCTGTCTCCTAGGTCCACTTGGCAGAGGCACAAATGCCCTAAGAAATGCCCCACTTACTTTAAGGTTGGGAATTTTAAAGATCTCTCCTAAATGGTGAAGACCACTCTGACTCAAGTCTAAAATCGACGAGGAAGAAAAGATGGCCCCCTTAACACCCTCGTGAACCTCTTTGGAGGGGGACGCGGGCACGCTCCGAACTTGGCCGGTGCCGCTGTCTGGATCCGCCGCCTCCGGGGGAGCCCGGCTTCCTCCCATGTGTCAGCCAGGACGAAGCAATGCTCCGGGGCCCTGTGCTGTCCTCCTTGGTCTGGAGTCACCTGGAGACAGGGAGGGGAGACACAGCCAGATGCCACACACATCCTCCCAGGCGGCGCCGGGCAGCTCCGTGGCAGGTGTGCAACCATGTCACCTGCTTACAAAACCATCATTTTTAATAAACGGTATCATAAATTTGACAAATATCTAAGTTGGAAGGAAGGAAGCACGCTGGAAGCCAAGAAGGTCCTGACTGAATGTTACGCTCCTCACCCTGTACCCGGAGTTCCGAGATTTAACTCCTGGGAAACACAATGATGCAAAATAAGGATGGCTACTTTAGGGATAAAAACAGACCGTTTCAAAGTCTGTAAACCAACATATCCCTTCCGTGACCGGTGAGTGGACGGGCTGAGTTCGCACGGTTGATTCCCGCTGCGGTTGCAGCTCTCGGCACTAGGTGTTGGCGGCCCCGAATCCCGCCGGCTCTGCCAAGTGGCTCAGAGCGCGGCACCGGGCAGGGGAGCAGCGAGCTGGGCGCTGGGAAGCACCTGCCAAAGCGGAATCCTGGCTTTCACTTAACACCGAGAGAGCAGTTCGAGACTCGCCGCTCGCCCAGAGCTCTTCTGGGGGGCCCGGGCCTGTGCAACTTCCAAACATGGATCCAGCAAGAGCCAGGCAGCTGGGGTGCTCCTGACCTCACCCCGTCCCCAGCACAACCCACTCGGCCCAGGTGTGGGCGCCTGCACTTCCTTCCCCTTCTGGGGCTGAGGACCACCCACAGGTGCGACCCCCGGACACCCGCGGGACACCCGCAGGGCCCCTCTAGCTGGGTCCCTTCCTGTGAACCCTGTGAAGGGCAGGAGGGGTGGCAACCTCCCACACCCCCCCCCCCCCCGTCAGGGGGAGAAATCTCAGAACCCAGAGTGGAACAACAGGACCTACCTAAGCTGCAGAGCTGGCCCCTCGCGGGTGGAGGCTGCGCCTTGTGTCTCCCCACCGCCTTCCTTCTGCTGCCGGCCCAACGGGGGGCAGCGCCCTCCCCGGCCCCGCACCCCCGCCCACACCTGCGCCCCCCACCCTCCCGGCCCTGCACCCCTGCTCACTCCTGCGGCCCCGCCCTCCCGGCCCTGCACCCCTGCTCACTCCTGCGGCCCCGCCCTCCCGGCCCTGCACCCCTGCTCACTCCTGCGGCCCCCCCGCCCCCCCGGCGCTCCTGGCCCCGCACCTCCGCTCACTCCTGCGCCCCCCGCGCTCCGGCCCCGCACCCCGCTCACCCGCGGCGCCCCATTCCGCGAGCACGCCGGTGCACCTCGGACGCAGAGAGGTGCAGCCCAACAATGGCGGCTGCCAGGCCCACGCGGTCGCCATGGAGACGCGCGTACGGGGTCCCGGAGGCGCCAAGCCGCGCCGAGCGCGCGGAGAGTGAGGGGCGCGTGCGCGCGGAGTCCCAGCCGGGCCCGGGCCGGTCGGTGCCGCCCGCGGGGACGCGTGTGTCTTGGTCCCGAGAGACGAGCGTGCGCGGAAGGCGCGCTGCTCGGAGGGACCCGATCGCTGGTCCCACGGACACCGCCCCGGGCAGCGTCGTCCCGGAGCCCGCCGGGTGGCCCCTGGGCTCCTCGGCCACAGGCTGCCAGACCCCGGAGCCCAGAGGTAGCCGCGGGCCCGGGACCGCCGGGAAGGGGGGGGGGCACCAGGCCGCCCGGGCTCGGGGAGCGGCCCTCGGGGAGCTGCTGCGGGGATGGGGCTGCTGCAGCTGCGGGTGTGCAGGGCGGGGGCCCTGGGAGCTGCTGCGGGGATGGGGGCTGCTGCAGCTGCGGGTGTGCAGGGCAGCGGGCCCGGGGAGCTGCTGCGGGGATGGGGCTGCTGCTGCTGCGGGTGTGCAGGGCGGGGGCCCCGGGAGCTGCTGCGGGGATGGGGGCTGCTGCAGCTGCGGGTGTGCAGGGCAGCGGGCCCGGGGAGCTGCTGCGGGGATGGGGCTGCTGCTGCTGCGGGTGTGCAGGGCAGCGGGCCCGGGGAGCTGCAGGGCAAGGGGAACCTGGAGGCAAGCGGGAGCCCGCAAGGACGGACTGTGGGGGGGGGGGCTCCTGCACACAGGCTGCCCCCACGCTGCCCTGCCGGGGGCTGGAGAGGCTGACAGGCCCGGAGGGAAGGACAAACGTGGAGCAGCTGTGCACCTGCCCCCTCACCTGTGAGTGAGCTGCAGCCACGCCAGGGGCTCCACCCTGACCTTCCAGGTGTGAAAATGGTGGCAGCTACTTCACTCGCCCCCCACCTCCCCACACACCACATCTCACCCAACGTGCCTCTGTGGCCCAGTTAGGAAGCCCCGTAGGGAAGGGCGGTGGGGCACCGGCAGGCAGCAGTCCAGTCCAGCGGGCATCAGGGGTGGCACCGTACCTGGAGGCAGGCTGGCCTGAGAAGTCACTGGGCGGGCTGCCAGGGGTACCCACTCCTTTGCACACATCCTCAGATAAGGTCCACCTTGTGAAAGATCACTCGGGTTCTGCGATGGAGGTGGCACATTAGGTCACCGTGACCACCCCTTCCACGCACAAGGGAGTGAAGCATTCTCCGAAGGTGAACTTTTCCCCGATGAGCATCTTTCTATTTGGAGGAGGCAGTGGAAAGCTCAGCTGCGGCGCAAAGCTCCCGACAGACCAAAGACTAAAGAAGTAGTTATTTTGCAACCACGCAGAGGGGAGGGTCTAGTAAGCACCCAGACTTGGGGTGGGCTCCCAAAGGCTGGACTCTGGGAAGAGCAAACTGGAAAAGCAGCAAACTTTGTGCGGCCCGAAGCTCTGCTTCGGATCCCAGCAGCCCCTGACTGCAAGGTGACCTGGGGGGCTGTGCCCAGTTCCCTGCTGGAAGCAGATGCCAATCCTCTGGGGGGGGGGTGTTACCATCTTAGATCTCAAGTTCTCTGCATGGTTTTAAAATGTGTCGTGTGCGTCACACACAAGGCAACGTGAACACATGATCGAGTCCCAGGAAAAATGAGAACAGAAACTGACCCGTGGGCGGTCCAGATATGACGGCAGCAAGCGCACACTTTAAAATAATCAGGTTTGGGGCGCCTGGGGGGGCTCAGCAGTTGAACCGCTGCCTTTGGCCCAGAGCGTGACCCCGGGCTTCCGGGATCGAGTCCCGCGTCGGGCTCCCTGCATGGAGCCTGCTTCTCCCTCTGCCTGTGTCCCTTCCTCTCTGGGTCTCTCATGGATAAATAAATAAAATCTTAAAAAAAAAAATAAACAACAGAAATTTATTTAAAATAATCAGGCCTCACGTGCTCAAGGCAGTGGTGATACCGGAAATCATAGCGAGGAGTCAAATTGGAATTCCGGATCTGAAAAACACAACAAAAATTGGCTGGACTGGTTACCAGCAAATTCCTTGGAGCTGACGACCGTGTTGGCGCAGTGGGAGGTCGGTCACAAGGCCGTCTCCGTCACACACGGGAGCGTAAAGCGGGCACGGGGGGGCTCAGGGACCGAGCCTAAGGCTCTGGGTGGTCTCTGGCCAGCTCAACCCCTGGCCGCCCTTGTAAGGACCGCTCCGCGGAGCAGGGGTGCTGGGACCTCTCCTGCCCTGAGCACTTGTCCGTGTGGTTACAGGTGAGAGTTCGCCAGCGAGCGGCTCCCGTGAGGTGTGGGGTAGAGGAGGACAGCCGACCGCTTCCTGGAGGGCACAGCAGGGGAGGCGGCGGCTCCAGAGCAGCTCCCCAGGTGGCCCACGGCGGCAGGACAGGCGTAGTGTGGCGGCCACACACCTGCCTGTTGGAAAGAGGAGAAACCAAGAGACACAAGGGGTGACTCTTCTGAAAGGTCTTCATTTTGAGCTCACTCCTGGATGATGCTTAACCGGGAGAGAATTCGGTGCTGGCACGACTCCGGGAGCTGCCGGCGCTGGTGAGAAGTTTGCTGTCCATCCAACGGCCATTTCTGTGAAGGAGATCGGACTCTTCTTTCTGTGTCCTTGACGTCCTCAGATTTCACTACTCAGATGCCACGCGCGGGTTGCGTCTCATTTCCGCTGCATGTGCACTTCCTGCCGGGGATCCGCCTTCAACCCTGGGCATTGCAGCCCTTCGGTCCTCGCGTGCAGTGCGCTCTGCACCCCGACCTCCGTTCTCGTATTCTGGGTCTCCCGTAGGGAACAGAGCGAGGCCACCCTGGCTGTTCTCTCCGTGTCTCAGCGTTAACTGCCCTTCCTGGTTGTCCCCTGTGCTCTCCACTGGG